TGGAGAGTAATAGCAGTGTCTTCTAAAGGTCAAAGGCGTGTTCTAGCTTTTCTATTCAGTATATTGAATATCCCTCTCTGGTGCCCTTACCGTTTCAGCTTTAAAAACACTGAGAAAATTATTTTTGATAATTTTGCATTAATGCTCTTTTTAATAGCAAAAAAGCAGATGTGAGATTTCCCAAGTTGGCCTATTATAGATTAGGCTGCTCTAAGAACTAGGCATCAGTTAAAAACCTGGATCTCCCTAAGGGTGAGGTGAAGCATTACCTTTGAATAAGTAGCAAATACTAACACTTTCCTCCCACTATAATCCATAGCTTATAACTGGAAAAATTGTGTGATAATATACAGTTGATTAAAGTGAAGTTGTTTTATTCACACACATAGTAATCAATTCCAGAACATGCTATACTGGTCCAAAGACAGGACATAGTTCATACTCATGCTAAGAATGTAGCTGACTGCTAGCCTGAAGAGGAGAAATCTCTGCCTCTGTTTCTCTATAACTCCTTGGGTACTCACCAGTAGGAGAAACCAGCCAAGTATTCGCCTGGACAGGGCTTACTATCATGGGGGTGGAGGCAATCAATAAATGTCTGGGCCACTATATTGGAAGGTGGTATGTGTCTATGGTTGCATTCCCTGTTCCAGCTCCTCCACCTTGTACTGTGTGCTAAGTTAGTCAAAGAATTGATTTATGGGGGATGCTTTGGCTGAAGACACATTTACTTGGCCCCAGATTCATTTCTCAGATTAATTCAGTTTCACCAGAGACAAGTTCTGCGTGTTAAGGAACAACATGCATACACCTCATGTGTGACAGTCATATAATTATTGTTCTTTGTGGCCACCCTCTTTTGGCTGAGTACCCCATGTGGAGAAGTCAGGGAGATGGTAGGATAGATCACAAACCTCTGCTCTTGATGCAGAATCGGGGTATTTGTACTGAGTACCAATTAAAGAGTTGATGTTGGAAGCAAACAAGCTAGTCGCCTTTTGAAATTATCCATTTATTATCACGGTATGGAAGCCCGGCAGAAGCCTCTGAAACATCCTGAATTTCCAGACAGCAATTTACAAAATGCGCAGAAGGCTGCCCTGCTTCACTAGATGCCTGAATGCCTGAACTTTCATGGGTTCTTAGCAGCATTTGTACAAGGTCCTCTGAATGCTGAAAATGTATGACAACATTGATTTGAGTAGTACTGCTTTAAGAGAAGACTGCCAATTTACTTACATGGTGTGATTCTATTGGGAAAAAAAAAATGCTTTTCCTTCAAATTCAGACCATATCATATGTCAAGTAATGGAAGTCTAGTTAGTCAATATTAACCAAACTATATAATTTGTCGCAAAGACACTTATACCAAATATTTTCAAAGGAAAATGGCCCACACCTGGGTTTTTGGAAGGTGGTGACCTGACTAGCCCAGAGGAGCCATGGAGTTTTGTAGTCTTCTTGGTTCACCATCATCTCAGTTCCGATGCCAACTACTAATCCTTCTGTCTCAGCCAAATTTGTTTGTATGTGGAGAGGTGATGGGAGAGGTCATTCTGTATGTTTCTCATACTGGTTAATAATAAAGCACTGTTGGCCAATAGGAAAGGAAGATAGGAGGGACTAGGAGACAAGGAGGAAATAGGAAGTAGTAGGGGGAGTCAAGATGGAGAGTCTGGAGAAAGCAGTATGCCGCCGGCTCCCCGGTAAGAGAAATACATAGATCAGCAGAAATGGGTTAATAATTAAGGCAGAGCTAGCCGATAAGAAACAAGTAACAGGGCCAACAGAATTATATCTAATACAGAGTCTCTGTGTATTATTTGGGGCTGTCGCAGCAGCAGGACAAGACCGGGCGGCGGCAGGCAGAAAAAACCGTACACCTTACAAATGGCGCCCACGTGGCTAATAAGAACTTACACTTAAAATTCAACAAAAGCTTAAGAAATGGTTTTACAAACAAAAGAACAGAGACAAGCAAGGTTTCTTGGTAACAGCATTTTTCTCAGTTGAACTCTGCTTTGCTAGAGACAAGCAGATATTCGCTTGGCTCCTTAAGGGAAGATTCCTGACTCAGCATATGCGGCAAAAAACCGCAAGGCTTTCAAGAAACTCTGCTAACAATTTATTGGTGTGTATGAGAGATGGCAATGGCAGTGACCACATCTCCAAGCCGGCAGCATGCTTTCTGGGTGGCAGCGCAGACCAAGGTGGTGAGCACAGCTCTCAGTGCTGGCGGTAAAAGTACCCGCCACCATCTTTGGTAAACCACGGCAGAAACAAAGACTTTCATTTTAACAATGTTGTTGTTTAACAGATAAAGACTCATAGCCATAAAAAGATAAAGATTTACAGTAGAGACAGATTCACATTAAGAAAAGGTGCTAAAAGTTTACAGTGTGTTTTAAAAAAATACATAGGCTTGGGAGACAAAAATAAAATGGTTTTAAATAGACAAAGAGGAACTGGGTGTTGTAGCACACGCCTTTAATCCCAGCACTCGGGAGACAGAGGCAAGCAGATCTCTGTGATTTCAAAGTAAACCTGGTATGCAGAGTGAATTCCAGGACAGATAAGAGTTACATAGAGAAACTCTGTCTCAAAAAATAAAAAGTAAAAGAAACAGAGTAATAATAAAGCCACATAAAGATGAAAAGCTCAGAGAGAATCTGGTTACTGTATGGCATTATATTGTCTTTATATCATTTGACTGCTGAGGAAACAACAACTGTTGAAGGAAATGCTGCTGGATTAATTCAATTTATATATTTTAAAAATGCTTTGACTCAAAAATTTAAGTCTAAGGACAAGTTACTGGGGAAAAGGATTTCTATTTTTGTTTCAACAGGAAATAAAAAGCTGTGGATTCCTTCCAGACTAATGTGGTTTGAGCAAGCCAGACCGCCTGAAACAGAGTACCAGGTGATCCTACATTCAAAACAGCTAAACAAAACAGCCTTACAGACTACAGCCAAGATTTCTACATCTTCTCAGGATCCCCCATGACAGTGCCCCCTATCAGCAGGAAGTAGTTGGAAAGAACGACGCCCAAATTCCCAAATATTGTTTATAAATGTTTGGTTTCATTTAAATGGACTTGGTTATAAATGGGTAATGATCGCAGCCAATTATTTTTAAAGGTAAAAAGGGAATTATGGTATTGATATGATTACTTTGTTTTGGAATGGATTTTCATTTATTGATACAATTTAAGGTCAATTTTGTCATATGTATATTTCTCCTCTTGTTTCTATAGCTCATTTAGAAATGTAATGTATAATGTAGTACAGATTATAGATAATTACCTATGATAGTCAAAGCTTAGAGTTTAGTTAGGGTTTTCAAGATACACAGAGATGTATTTAAGATAGATAGGAATTCTTCAAACCTTTCAAAGACCTACAGAATATGGCATTTAAAATGGTTTAGGGTTTTACTTGACAATGAGACATAATTGCTCCTGGTAACACCACCTGCGTCAAAAAGGATGATGGACATAGAAGAAACGTGTTATGAAGTTTGCTTTCAATATAGCAAGACTAGCCATTTGGACAAGATACTGCTCTTGTCTGGACTGTTTGACTTTGTGATGTATAAATTGGACATGCAGGACCCACAGGAAATTGACTGCTGATTCAAGATGGACATTGCTACAGAGTTCCTGCTTCATGGAAGAGTCTGCGAGACAGTATGCAGGACACAGAGGAAAGTGACTGACAAACTGCCAATACAAGAAGACAGTTTAAAGTTTCCTGCGTTGCTGAAGAGTCTGCCAGACACACTATGGCCTATGGGCTGAAGATGGAAGATTACAGAAGAACTTCGGGTGACCAGGCAGTGAGTTGTCTCTGTCATTTCTAGAGTTTATATATTATCCTTCTGTGGTCTTTGAAGGAGTTGAAGACAGGTAGTTATGGTTATAGTTTTCATTAGTTAGGATTAAAGATTTGTTACTTAGACTTTAGACACACAAAGATAGAATAGAAGATGAAATATTTTCTTCAAATCTTGCTAAATGTTAATGGACTAAATATTGTTAACTGTGAGTCTTACTTGATAACTGTTGTATAATATATTTTGCTATGTTAAGGTTAAAACCCTTGTTTTTATTTAGACAGAAAAGAGGAGATGATGGGAGAGGTCATTCTGTATGTTTCTCATACTGGTTAATAATAAAGCACTGTTGGCCAATAGGAAAGGAAGATAGGATGGACTAGGAGACAAGGAGGAAATAGGAAGTAGTAGGGGGAGTCAAGATGGAGAGTCTGGAGAAAGCAGTATGCCGCCGGCTCCCCGGTAAGAGAAATACATAGATCAGCAGAAATGGGTTAATAATTAAGGCAGAGCTAGCCGATAAGAAACAAGTAACAGGGCCAACAGAATTATATCTAATACAGAGTCTCTGTGTATTATTTGGGGCTGTCGCAGCAGCAGGACAAGACCGGGCGGCGGCAGGCAGAAAAAACCATACTCCTTACAGAGAGGGGCAGAGCTGTATCTATTTATGGAGGGGGATCAAAAGGGGAGGAAAGGAGAGGAGAAGAGAATAAGTGGATGAGTCTGTTCTTTGTAGTTCTGGTCCAGTCAGTTGAAGTGCAGTGTTAAGGACATGTGAACAAACTTGGCCTTTGTGTCCATCTTAAGAATGGTAGGTGGAAGCCGGGCATAGTGGTGCACACTGTTAATCCCAGTACTTGGAAGGCAGAAGCAGCAGGTGGATCTCTGTGATTCCGAGGCCAGCTTGGTGTGTATAGTGAGTTCCAGGATGGCCAGGTGGAAGGAAACAGGTGATGTCTAGGCAGAGATGCAATGACTGATAACACTATGTTGAGGTATGTAAAACAGAAGTTGACATCCATTTATTTTTGAGGACATGCAATAATCAATAAAAATGGGATTAAATGCTGGCAGCACAGTGACTGCACTGGGACTTTTGGGTTGTTACTTCACCTTAATTGCTCCCATAAATCCAGACACTCCTGGGGGGTTTTATTTCTTACAGTTTCAATTCCTTTACATTTGATCTGGCAGAAATTACTGCTGATACTCATTTTTTCCCTCGGAGTCTGCAAAGTGAAGAAAACATGGAAAGATGTAACCATCTCTAAAATGCACCAATAACTTCTGTTTATGTTAGCTCTTACCTTTGATCCCCTCTTTTGCCATCCACTGGATTCCTGCATTCAGTTTTGCTTAGTGACTGAGAAGAGGCATGTGTGGGACAGATTCCATGGTGAGAGAAAGCTTCCAGACCCTCATTAACCATTTCCTCATGGTAGTGTGAATTCGGGCTTCCTTCCTGACCTGGCCATCTCTGTGCATGTGCGTCCCTCCCTTTGCTCCTTGTTTTGAACTGTGTGTGCTGCTACAGAATCCTCATTTTCATCTCTGAGCCTTGCCTCTCCTCAATGCACCAATTCTCTTCCTCCACAGCCAGCTCATCCCAAAGCCCTTCATGCTTGCATGTCAGAATATGAAGCGCACTGGGTTCTGTTTACTGGATGTATGCATACACGGGGAGGGTCTGAGGGAACATCCTGATAGGCCAGTCACAAAAACAATCCGTATCGACTTGTTTACAGAAGAAACAGGGAGAACTCAATTAAAAGCTTCAGCAAAGGAAACTCACATGGCTGAACACATCTCCTCGCTTATTCTATCATTCATCTTGGGGAAAGAATAGACCCCCCCCATCATAACCTTGGTTTTTTAAGTGGAGAGGTTCCATGGAAACGAGTAGACCAGCCTGAATCTCTGTACTGTGCTGTTGCGGGCAATTACTGGGAGAGAATTATACTGCATGGAACCCTGACCATCTACTAACAATTTCATTTGTAGAAAAAAGAAGAACTTATTAAGACTTTGTCTACCACTTGCCATTTGTGGTTTATAACTTTGTATAACTTTTCGGAGGTGAGCTGATAACTCATCTGAAAAATCCTCTGCAGTAAGTAGAGGACCAAAGGAATCAGTGTTTGAAGCATGTAGACTGCTGTGGCCATTCTCCTTTTCTCCTATCTCATTCCTTCCTCTTTGGCACTTCCTTGGTGGCCCTGCTCTCCTAGCCCTTGCTCTAAAGCAAGCTGCGAGATGTCACATCTGTATGGAGTCTTACTTTAAGACGACAGCCTTTTCCTGGCCTCACGTGCAATAGGGCAAGCAGCTGTGCAGACAGATAACTGTGTTGTAACTCTCTGTTAACCTTCCATGAATGTTGGCCTCATAATGTAAGTCACTGGGTGACTGCCCAGTGATGCTCAGCTTCCTTCTACACAAAGGGATGCAGGTAAGAAAATGGCAAATATGGAAGCACACTGGATCATTATTTTATACATTTTCTGTGTATGCAGATTTAGAAAATGTACTTGCCTCTATATTGGTATTCTAGAGTTTTCTCCACCTACTCCTCAAAGTTCTCACTGTTAAAGAGATATCTTATTTGGGTCTCTCAGGCTCCCATCTCAGGACCTTCTGAAGAGAATTTCCTTTTGCCCTGTTGGCTATTTCCGACTTTGTAAAAGAGAGTTAAGATGGTGATTGCCCAAAGAAGCTCTAACAACAGAGTTAAGTTGAGAAAAGTGGAAAGGGTAGTTCATGGGGCCAGGACTGGGCTAAAGTGTCTTGGGTGTTTGAGGTCTAATGTGAAAGCAGTGTCAGCGTGAAAGCAATTATTGATGCTTTCATTTCCCTTTCTCAAAGAATTTATGGTGTCAAAGGGGTAAACCCTTCTTAGCACTGCCTCAGGCTCTACAACTAGAATAGGAGCTCTGACTGTGAGCATTGCAGAAATTGTCACAGTTCCACCGACTCACCGTCCGACGCGGCTTCATCTTTTTCTTCATTGAGGTCTTTATGGGGCTGTATTCTCTCTTCATGTTCTGAAATGAAAATTTAAAAAGTCGGGGTTAAAATACAGTAAGCAGCTGTGAGATATTCTGAGTTAGTGTTTTTCAAACTCTGTGCCATGATTGATATTAAAAACTCTCTCTGTGTGTAGGTGTGTGTGTGTGTGTGTGTGTGTGTATGAGAGAGAGAGAGAGAGAGAAAGAGATCACAGCTCAGTATGTTTGTGTACATAGAGATTAATGAAAAATTATTTACCACAGTGCTCCAGATTAACCAAAAATTACTTTCCACAATACTCTTTTCTAATCTCATTTTACTGACCATTTGTTTAAATTTTTTTTTTGTTTTGAAACAGGATTTCAATGTATAGCTAAAGCTGGTTTCTGATTCTGAGTGGGGTTAGTTAACTACTTAAGTGCCAGGATCACAGGCAGGATCATGACTGGGTTCATGTGTGTGTGTGTGTGTGTGTGTGTGTGTAATATTAATTAGCATATATGGTTAATACATGCTATTGATATACAAATTATGTTACTATTTTGTCTATATTGTTATTAATATCTATAAGATTTACTTACCTATTGTTTTTTCTTTCCTTTCTTTCTCCCTTCCTCCTTTCTATCCTCTTTTATCCTGTCCTGCTCTATCCTGTGCTGTTCTGGTCTATCCTGTGCTGTTCTGGTCTATCCTGTGCTGTCCTGGTCTATCCTCTGCTATTCTGATCTATCCTATGCTGCCCTGGCCTATCCTTTACCATTCTGTTTTATACTGTGTTGCCATGTTCTAGCCTGTGCTGTCCTGATCTACCCTGTCTTGTCTTGTCCTGTGCTGTCCTGATCTATCTTGTGCTGTCCTGTTCTATCCTTCCCAAGTTCACTGGAAAACACCTCTTCTTAACCTCTATGCTATCAATTTTGTAATATTTCAATGGGAAAGTCCTGGTAGTTAAGTTGATTTTCATAAGCATTAATTTTTTGCAACCCACAGAAGATAATACACAGAGTTTCTACAGTTCAGAAAGAACTATATGGTATGATTGATTTTAATGTTCATTCAACAAGCCACCCCCTAGTAGCATGAAATCAGTGTCACTTTCTCCACTTTGTCAGGGGACCCAGGTGACTCGAGTTCTTTAGTCTGCGTAAGAGTCTCACTTGGCAGAACGGCTAAGTACCTCAAATTTACCTAGCAACTTAAGTTGGAATTCCTCTACAGAATATGTCCTCCCCTCTTCATCCCAGAAAGCAGCCAGGCAACCTTTTTCATGACAGATTTGATAGGTTTTCTCAGTTCTCTCAGGGCCTCGGTGCACTCCAATTTCTCCTTAAGTATTGCTTGATGCTGGTTGGCCTTCCTAGAGGAATAATGCCTCTACAGATTCAATCTTGGCTTCTTAAGCTCTGCTGAGGCTGGGACTCAGCTGTCTGGACAGTGATGCGGGCTGCTAAAGACCTCCATAGAGCTACTGAAGTGATCACGTTAGTTCAGAAGCCCTGGCCTCCAAATATTCCATGCGTTGTCCAACCTTCCACCAGTCAAATTGATAACCTTATAGCCAAACATCACATGACTCCTACCTCCTTTCCAAGGTCTGTTAGTCCATTTTGCATTCCCTGACCTAATGCAGATACCTTACTGTCTGGGGGAGCTGTGTGTTTCTGGCTTTGCCTTGGTGGCCTGAACGGCCTCTTTGCCTTGCTCCTGTCCCTCTGGTAGATGCTTTTTTTTTTTTTTTTTTGTAATCTTCTCTCTCCTCTCCCCTTCAATCACACACTTTTGTTCTAAATCACATGAAGGAAGGATCCATCACCCTACAGCCCAGCTCCCATATCATCTGTTCTGGGAAGTGTTTCCTGACTCCCACTTACCACAGGATACCCCCAGTCACCCTGGGCCTCTGTCACAGTACTATTTCATAGGATGAGAATGCCTATATTCTGCACCCTTATCAACTCATATGTTGAAGTCTAAACATTCTTATGATTATATTGAGAGGTGGGCCTCTGGGGGGGGGAGATAGAGCCCTTGTAAATTCATAACTATAGTCTTCCAAAACAGGCCCGTGGGTAGTCATTTGTACTTGTTTTCCATGTAAAGACAGAGAAATTCATAAAACTGACCATGACCACACACTGAATCTGCCAGTGCCTTCATCTCAACACGCCTCTTGAATCATGAAAAGTAATATAACATGAAAAATAAAAACCTAGAGATAGATATTTGGGTTCAAGCTTCAAGGTAAAGAACACAGAAACAAAGCAACCAATCCACTAGCTCTGACCTCTGCCTGAGGCTGAAAGGGCTGATCCTGTCTCCATGAGCTCTCACCAAGCCTCAGACTGCTGCCTCTCCTCAGTGTGCTGGAGAACAAATGCCTGCTACTGACCACTGAAGACCCTGCTCCTATCTTTTATACCTCTCTAGTACTTGGATTAAAGGCATGAGCTCTGTTCCTCTTTTAGACTAATTCACACTCATGTAGCCCTGGGTGGCCTTGGACTCAGAGAGAGCCAGCCATCTGTCTTTATCTCCTGAGTCCTGGGATTAAAGTTGTGTGCCACCACTGCCTGGCCTCTATGGCTAGCTAGTATGGCTACTTTGCTATTTTGATCTCTAGTGGTTTTAATAAATCATAAACAATATATCACCACAAAGTAATTTCCAATTGTTTTGTAGAATAATGGCCAGAACAAGAAAAGACATCTCTCAGAACTGAATTTTTCCTCTTTGCTCTGCTATTTCACATGCTAAATTGTAGCTACTTTTGAAGGCAGGTATCTGTTTGATGTGTTTTTATTTTTAATTGATTGATTGATTGATTGATTGATTTTTTGAGACAGGATTTCTCTGTATTGCTTGGAACCTGTCCTGGAACTCACTCTGTCGACCGGTCTGGCCTCGAATTCACAGAGATCTGCCTGCCTCTGCCTCCCAAGTGCTAGGATTAAAAGCATGCACCACCAACGCCCAGCTGATGTGTTTTTAAACCCTTTACCACCTAGAATAGCTGCTCCCTCCTTGCCCCTTCATCCATTTGTAATGTGAAATACACGTAGCATGGAAACATCGTCATGAGAAGAGTAGAAGCACAACACATTGTTAACATGCACTATGCTATATGGAAGATCTCTGGAACTCTTACAGTGCACGAGCAATAGAGTGCTGTTCCTGAACCCATTCATCCCTCTCCAGCCTTCTTAGTTCCCAAATAGCTTTCAAGACATGGTTAGATTTTCTATTTCATTTCAATGCATCTTTCCACTCCCTCCAAGTGTTTAGATTGCCAATCATGTTTCTTTTATTTTGATCTACAAAACCCCATTTTGTTAAATTGTGAATCTTGGCATGTCATAGGATCTTAGGTCCTTTCCCTATGCAGTTTGTGTGGTAAGAATCTCCATGCTGGCTAGTTTTATGTTAACTTGATATAATCTCAGTCATTTGGAAGAGGGAACTTCATTTGAAGAAATGCCTCTGTAGAATTGGCCTGCAGGCGAGCCTCAAGGACATTTTTGATTGATGATTGATGTGTGGAGGTCCCAGCTTACCCAGTGACACTCTGGGCTGGTGGTCCTGGGTGCAAGCCAGTAAGCAGGATCCTCCATGGCCTCTGCATCAGTTCCTGCTTCCAGGTTCCTGCTCTGAGTTCCTGCCCTGACTTCCTTTGATGAGAGACTCTCAAGTATAAGTACAATCTGAAATAAACCATTCTTTCCCAAGTCAATTCTTGTCAGAGTTTATCATAACAATAGAAACTCTTAAGTATGACAACCTCCTTATTGTACTTCCATTGTCTCTCCCAGAAACTAGTGGATCTATGGAGGTCAAGGAGTTCCCTGTACTTTGCTACAATGATTTATTAGTACCTTTAATATATGATCTCATGTAGCCTCTTGATCTTTGGGCTCAGAGCAAGTATAAAATATGATCTTGTTTTTTAATATGGGATGAGGATTTTGAAGGTCTTAACTGTTTTATGGCTAACAGATGATTAGATTCCTTTCTTTGATTGAAATGAACTTTTTCTTACCCCACCTGAGTCTACTTACCATTCATGGCCTTGTTCGCTTCCTGGTTGTTTTTAGAGACGTCAGAGACCCTTTGACCTTTTTAAAAGTTAGTTTATAGTCTAAAGCCCAGAAATTAAGTATTAAAGTAATTGAAGAGATCTCATATGCCTCCTACATGAATCTTCTCATTGATGAGTTTATAAACAGAGATTTCCAAACCAAGAGGTGAAAAGCTCTCGTGAGTTTTGAAATATCTGGGGCAGTAGGTTTTATTTGTTGGAGAGGATATAAGGTCCAAAGGTAACAAAGTAAAAAGCAATATAGACCTTTGTTAATAAATAAAAACTCAGTGTATATGCATCATATTCTTTTATAAGACTCTCTATAATCAAGTATAGTCTGGAAATTTAGGACCAGTTACCAGTCAATGATGACAGTTTTGTAGCCCTTTCTAGAGAATGAAAATTACAGTTCTAGTCTGCCAAACCCAGGCTGTAACCCAAAGGACGTGTACATTTTAAGAATAAAAGAATTCAAGTTAAACCAGCTATCCCTTGGACTTCTACAACCTGAAGCCCCCCACCTTTATTCTGCCTCTGAGCTGTGTTTGTTTTGGCTCTGTTCTGGGAGCTTGATCATCAGCCAAGCTCTGAATTCCCCTGCCTCACTCTCTGCTTACACTCCACTAAATTTTCTTTGGTCTGAACCAGTGGTCTTCTGCTAGTTTCTTTTTACTAGTTCATTTCGAAAGAAAGAAACCATCTTAGATGGTTCAAATGTGCTCTGTTTGTTTCTTAGATATGTTTCATATCACCGCTGGTTGGATTTTGAGAACTTGGTTGCTAGTTCATTTTTCCTTCTTTGTACACTATGGACCCTCCAAATACAGTCTATCTTTTAGCACAGTTACTTTCAACCTCATTGCCTTACTCTCTTCCTCCTCAAAGGCGGGCTCTTCCATTCCCATTTTCAGTGCTGATGGCCCAAATCACCTCAGCAACTATTTAAAGCCCAAGTATTAAAAGGAGAAGATAAGAAGAAGGAAAAAAAAACTTTTGTTCTTCCAAATAAAGTCAGTATGAAAAATCTCAGAATAATTTTTGGAACACAGCATCAAGTTTCACCTTTCCCAGAAAAGAAAATGGGATGGAAGTACACATTTATATTTGGGGGCATGTTCCACTTCTGCAACCAGGCAGCTGGGTATCTTTTTTAGGGAGTCCCACAGCCACACACTGGACTCTTTCTGTCTTGGTCTCTGGCTTCCATTGAACTCCCTGTAGCTTTTCCGTATAATTTATCTCCACTTTAAAATGAGTTAATCTAACATTGCCCTTCTTCATTGTGGTCTATGACTCTAGGGATACGCCTTTGCCTCCTGCTGTGTTTCCCACACAAGTATCTCCATCTGCAACTGCCACCCTGTCCTCCAGACTTAACAGCAGACATGCTCCTGGTTTGGAACTGATCCTGTGTTTTGTCTTGAGGACTCTTCTCTTCATTCTCCTCTAGCTTCATCCTCTTCCTAACGGTGGTTAAATATTAGCATCCACCTATCCAGATAGCTATCCATTTATTTCTATTTTTGAATGTGTATGCCCACTTTTTTTGGAATATGTGGTGTCCACAGAACCATGTCCAAAGGAATGAGAGACCATGAGTGAAGACACGTTCCACTCTAGTCACTTGTGATCTCTTCCTAGAGGTCCCTATACTTACCAGTAACAGCTGTTGATTTCTCCATATCATCCTATCCCACCCATAGCTCTCTTATGCTTAGAGACACGTGTCCATTGTTCAGTAGATACTTTTATTTCTGTGTACAGTCTTGCTTTCTGAACAATTTACACACTTGACCAGACCTCACTGCTCATCCTGTGTCTGGTTCTTCTGCCCCCTCTCGTTGCCCCTCTGCACCTATTCCCAGAAGTCTTCTATTAGCTAGCACAGCTATTCCTCATGGCTTTGAATCTCGGCTATTCTCCAAGATTTTCTGTAGTTCTTCCAAACAAGCCTATCTATGTATTCCTGGCCCAGGTTTTTCTTTCTATTCTCAGGCATAAGTCCTGACAGAACCCCTTGCTTCTCATTCCTGAGGTATAGACAAAGATGTCATTTGCATAAGGCGTGAATACCCTATACTTCTGGTTTCTACTGTCAGCTCTCCACAAATATTAATGGAAGGAGACTATTGTAGGTTTGAAAAGACATCTGGTTAATGCTCTTTGCACAAATAAGTGTACGCATTTCTACATGTCTTCTTCCAGTTGTAAACTAAGAATTTGTTGTTGCTGTTTTTTGTTTGTTTGTTTGCTTTGTTTTGCTTTTCAAAGCAAAGTCTCTCTTCAGAGCTCTGGCTGTCCTGGAACTTACTATATAGACCAGGCGGGCCTCAAACTCGTAGAGATCTGCCTGCTTCTGCCTCCTGAGTGCTGGGATTAAAGACATGTGCTATCATGCCTGGCTGAGAGTGTTTTTTTTTTTTTAATGGCAAAGAGAAGAGAAAAGGATAGATGGCAGCACTTCCTTATAAATTTATGATTAGAGAAAATGTCAATGAGAAAAATGCATTTATTGATATTTACCATATTTTAAACAAACTTAATTGAAAATAAATATGGTATGATAGGTTAGATTGTGCCTACCAAAAGACACATTGCAGTTCTAATTGCTAGTACCTGTACTTGTAACCTTGTTTGTAAACACAGACTTAGCAAGATATTCAATTTAAAATTTGGTATTATGGGGGCTGAAGAGATGGCTCAGCAATTAAGAACACCTGATGCTCTTGCAGAGGACCAGAGTTTGGTTCCCAGCACCCACAAGGAAGTTCACAACTCCCAGTTCCAGGGGACTCAACACTCTCTTGTGTGCTCTGCAGGTTCTTGCACACATGTGGTACAAGTAAATTCATGTATGTACCACATATCCATATAATAAAATACAAGTTTAAATGGAGTCATACTGCAAATTTAAATGGAGTCATATTGGATTGATAGATCCTCAATGCAGTGACTAATGTCTTTGTGACTGGAGAGAGATTTGGAAACACAAACACCCAGGGGACATAAAGAGGTGTACTAGATGGCAAGGAATGGAATGATGTGGTCACAAGCCAACACTGCCAAGCACCTCCACTAGAAGCTAGGCCAGGTAAAGAAAGGTTCTTCTCCAGAGCTTGCAGAGAACATGGCTCCACTGACACCTTCGTCTTAAACCACCTGGTGTATGGTGACTTGGTATATTAGTTATAGAAAACTAGTTAATGTGGAATATACAAATTTATAAGGCCACAGTATTCTAAAAATGTGGTTTCTTTAGCATTTTTATGTTTCATTTCTAATGACACACAAACTTAGCAGTTTATTTGGCTAACAATTTAGTTTAAGAGCAAAATATGGATTCTAGTTATCTATATTAGTATTAAGAGCAATCGAGTTATAACAAGTATTTCATACCCCTCTCTCTTCCCATGTGCACGCGCATTGTGTGTGAGTACTACATGTATGTGTGTGTGTGAATGCAGGTGTGTGGGACTGGCCATGTGTGTACAGAGGTGAGAGGAGGCCATAGCTCTTCTTATCACTCTCCACTTTGTTGTTTTTAAGACTGGGTCTCTCACTGAAATGGTGCCTGGCCGGCAGCTACCAAGCCTCAGAGAACTTCCTTCTTTGCCCTGCCCAAACAATGGGGTTATAGGCACATGTGTGTGACCACACTCACTTTTCTGTGTTAGCACCAACAATTCAAACTTCATGTTTGTACAGTAGGTGCTCCCGCCTACAGGCCACTTCTTCAGCCCTGGTTTTACACTTCCAAAAACAGACTTATTTTTATGTTATGTGTATGAGTATTTTGCCTGTGCACATATCTGTGTAGCACACACATGTCTGGTGACATAGGAGGGCAGAAAAGGGCACTGGATGCCCTGAAATTGGAGTTGTGGGTGCTTGTGTATCACCAAGTAGTTGTTGAAACTCAAGTCTAGGTCCCCTGTAAGAGCATCCGGTAGTCTTAACCACTGAGATATCTCTACAGAACCCTGTAGTACCTTTTTGGCATCATCTCAATGAGACAACCAATTTATGAGATTACCTTCTTGAACGGGCTGGAAAGTTAATACGTCTCCAAATGCAACAAGTTTCTCCTGTTGAAAAATTTATAATCAGAGAATAAAATGACAGCAACCACTAAATCATTCTTTATCAGAAAACTTGTTTGAATCTTGATTTAAAACAAATAAATATATTTACCATACTGAAAATTATAAACCAAATACACAACATGCTTTTGTTATATCCTCCAAACCTTGTTGCCTTATGGTTCTCAGAAATATAATGTAAACTGAGCTCTGAAAACCACGCACGCCTTAGCCTACTAAATCATTTTAGGATCGTCAAAGTCAGATCCTTTGCAGGCTGTCTGCCATTACCTGAATCAGATCATCTGTGAGTCTCTTTATTATCTGTGCACTCAGCGAAATGTCTTCGAGGTCTGTAAGAACCACCCAAGTTCCATTCTCAAATTTCACAGGCATAGAAAAGACGACTCCTTCAGGAATACCAAATTGGCCTGTAGGAGGCACATTTAAGGTGAATCATGGGTAAATAAAGAAGAATTTGGAAAGAAGGACTGAAAAATGGCACTCATAATTCATTATTTTAAGATTGTGTGTGTGCATGTGCATAAGGAGGCCAGCAGAGGGTGCTACATGCCCTGGATCTGGGGTTCAGGTGTGCGCTGTGTGATATGGATACTAGGAATCAAATTCTGATCCTCTGCAAGAGCAGGAGGTGCTCTTAACCCCTGAGCCAGTGCATGATTTCTTAAGGACAACAGCGGTTCTAAATTTCTGAATTACTATTTGACTAGGACTGGATTGCCCATTCAGTCCTTAATGCACACCTGTCTTAGTTCTGACCATTCTCCCTTCTCTCTCATACCCAGGGTCAATGACATCTTTTTTTCCCCCAAGCCTTGCATGTAATTTGTGCCTATTTCCCATAGCTGTTCCACGATTCTTCATGTAACTCATGAGCCTGAACTATTTGTCTAATCTGGCTTTCTATTTTAGCTTACTTCATGTCCTAGTTAGTGTGATGAAACACCATGACCAAAGAAACTTGGGAAAAAAGGGGTTTATTTGGTATATGTTTCATCATTGTATAAACTGGTGACGTGGCCACTCCATGGTATAATTAAGAGGAAGATTTTCCCTTTTTTATTTAATTTCTTTTCTTATTTTACATATTGATCCTAGTTTCCTCACCATCCCATCCTCCCATGCTCTCCATGACCCCCCCACCCCATCCCCCATCCACTCCCCAGGGAGGGTGAGGCCTTCCATGAGGGATCAGCAAAGTCTGTCAAGTAAGGGAAAGATTTTTTATTGTAGATATGGGAGAGAAAGAATGCCCAGCGACATGTGGAAGAGTCTAGGGCAGAGAGAGACAGAAAGAAGCTGTCTGAACATGGCCAGTAAACTAACCCTGACCATGAGAAAAGCAGGCACAGATCAGAAAGATAGAGGGATAGAAAGGGGGGAAACAAAGAGAGGGGGGGATATTAGATAGATAGATAGATAGATAGATAGAGAGCAAAATTAGCAAGGCTGTAAATATAGGGTAAAAAGATCAGCCAACACATCCTGACATATGTGTTCTTGTAAAACTAATCATACTTACAGTCTATTGTATTCACTTTCTATGAATGGCTTCCAGTTAGTAAACTGCTAAACCCTGCCGTTCTGTATACCAGAAGCATTGCTGTCAGTAGCTGTGGGTGGCATAGCTCAGTACTTGTCTGTGTGCAACCTTGGATTATTTTCAGAGACCCCCCCCACCAGAGGAGAGATGAAGATACTGAATTACCTTGCAGAAAACTATTTTAGGACAAGTCAGTATAAAGAAAACCTGGGGATTTCTAAAGCAAGGTTTGTTAAGTAAAGGGCTTCTTACACACTTAAGGGTGGGTGTAGGCTTCTCAAGAGAATCACACTGGTGCCATCTTGGATAGTCATTTTATGGACAAATTTTGAAGGAGGGGATGTTATTCATGAGTTAAGGTAGAGGGAAATGCAAAAAACATTCTAGGAATAGGTCTTGGAGTTCTGTTTACTCTCCCTTTCTACCTTTTAATGTAGCTTTACAGGTAAGCCCTGGTGTGAGATGCATAGTTTGAATAGGTAATTTTGCAAGGCTAATGACCTGGAAGCCCCCTTATAACGAAGGAGAAGAAAGTTAGTGGTCGTGCATGTTGGCCATCTTGATCCCAGGAGTCTAGGGTGGTTTTTCTGTAACAGCTCTGTAATCTCACTGCCTAACCACTGCAAAGCTTGTCCTTTGGCCCTGTGTCCATCTAGCCTGTCTCATCGACAACAAAACCCAATCATGGTCAAGAAACAGCACTAGTAGACTGCCCATCAGTGAGCTTTTCAGATCTGTTCATGCTGCCTGCCACCCATTTGCAAAGAGTGTGCCTTATAGGGACAGAATATATGAGACCTTATCTAATAATCTCTCATGAGAATAGAATAAGACACAAATAAATTTTAGTTTTAAGTGGAATTCCTACAGAAATTAATAAAACTTGCAAATAAAGAGATTGTTCTCCCCCCCCTCTGTGTGTGCGTGTATAAACATGTGCATGTTTGGAGGTCCTCCCCTTCTCCTGTATGAATTCCAGAAAACAAAATGAACTCAGGTCAAGCAAGTATCTGTTGAGTTAGTGCCATGTCTCATTATTGGGTTTCCAATGCTCACTCATTTCTCCACAAAGGTAACATACCAACCAGCTTGATGCCATGATGTGGCAATGTTCAGGGCACTGCTACTTCAACTGTACACTAATGACTGGGTATCACATAAGATACTTCTCCCATGGAGATGTAGAAGGTGACATTGGCAAAGCCCTCCCCTCAGTGCAGATATTCTAATGAAAAGGATGTATGCATCTACAGAGGTGCACTAGAATATCCTGTCTGAGAGAGGAACAACATGCTGTGTGAGCATGGGGAGAAACAGACATTAACATCTCAGATGTCTCTGAGCTGCAATGAAATTGGAACGAGGAGGAGATGGTGGTATTATTAGTAACACAAGGGATGTCAGAGGTGGATCTGATTGGAAAAGAAGCCAGCAGGTTCGGGTTGCTGTATTTTGGCCATGTTTCCAACCAACAGATGCTAGGACTCAGCAGAGAGGCCCAGGCCTGAAGATCAGGGAGTGAACAAGACTGACAAAAGAAAAATGGAAGAAATGCTTAAGGTTGAACCTACAGAGGACATTCCAGCAGCCACTGCCTTTACTAGTGTATAAGGATGATGGAAGGTTTATGTGTCCTTGTTAGCTTATAGCATGACTCTGCAATGTTGACTGATGAGCAGCAGCCTGTTGTGGAATAATCTTTTTGTACACTGTGAAGATGTGTCACTCTGATTGATTTAATAAGAAGCTGAATAGTCAATAGCTAGGCAGGATTTCCAGGCACAGATGATTCCAGGAAGAGGAAGGGAGGAGACACCAGTGATATAGAAAAAGGACAGACACTATGAAGATAAGGTAATAAAGCCATGAGGCAGAAAGTAAATGAATAGAAATGGGTCAATTAAGTTACATGAGCTAGTTAGAAATAAGTCTAAACTAGCTGGGTGATGGTGGCTATAACCCCAGTACTTGGTAGGCAGAGGCAGGCAGATCTCCATGAATTCGAGGCCAACCTAGTTTACAGAGTGAGTTCCAAGAGAGGCTCTAAAGCTACACAGAGAAACCCTGTCTCAAAAACCAGAGAGGGAGAGAAAGAGAGAGAGAGACTATGAAAAGAGAGATAAGCATAAACAATGGCTGAACTTTCATAATTAATAATAAGTCTATGTATCATTATTGGGGAGCCAACAGTCCAACATGAAATCTGACTGCAAATAGCATCCAACATGTAGTGGCTTGAATATCCAAGCATAGGGCCTAAGATGTTCTGGACAAAAAGCCAGATGTAGTTTCCTGGTTCTGCAGTTTCTCAGGTGGGCTGATGCTTGACATCATACAGAAGAGCATCTACTGGATGCTGCCTGTGTGTGGAGCCATCTGCCAGCACCATGCACCAGTGCCATGCCCTAAGCTGAGCCATGCCAGTGGCTGACGAAGCAGTTTTAAGATTTGTCTCATGAGATCAGAGACCAATGCTTATTAAAGTCAGATCCAGAAGGAAAGAACCTCTAAACAGATTACAGTTTGTTTAAAATTGTGGATAGGCTTAAAGAAAACAAGAAAATGGGTATAGACAGTCATAGAAAAAAGTAAATCATTTATAAATAAAAAAGAATAAGCCATGTAGAGATGGGAAATACACAGGGAGTCTGGATCCTGTATGGTGTTTTATTGACTTTATTTTTTTTGATTGCTGATAAGCAAACAATAGCTGCCAAGAGACAATAAATTATAAAAAATAACCTACTAAATTAAACCAACCTATATATTTTAAAAATGTGTTAACAGTGAAATGTAAGTAAAAAATATGTTACTTTGGGGAGGAGGTTATGCTTTTGTTTACATAGAAAATGAAATCCTGATGGTACATTCAATGTTGATAGAGATCAGATTTAATCAAGGGATGCCCCCCGAAAATCCTGGCTACAGACATAAAGAAACAAACCTAGGAAAACTATAAGACAGGTTATGTATATTTTACTTGCTCAAACACACAAAAAATATCATCTTTTGCTAGCTTGTGTACAATGTATACTTGTGTTAATGCAAATATGCATGCTATCTTTGAAAGCTGATGTGTTTTCAGAGCAAGGGGACCAAACACCAATGAAAATGGATGGCCCAGGTGACTCAGTCTCTCAGAGCACCTCTGATGCAGTTTCCTCAGAGTTCTTCATCCAGAACAGCTTCAAGGCTGCTAGCTTAGATAGCCCATTCTCACAGAATATTCTAGGCAGGGCTTGACCATTATCCTAATTTTCTCAGGGTGCCTAAAGATGCCAGCTCCCCCAGACAACAGGAAGCAGTCTCATGAACACAACATCCACATTCCCAAGAGGTGGGATGGGTGGGATTTGGTCATTTGGTGGGTTATGGATGTTTGCCATTGTCTGAGGGGTTGGTTACAAGTTATTATTGGTCATGATCAGGAAGAAAGCTAAACAAGGGGGATCAGATTCAAGAATCTTTTTCTAAAGGTGAAGAGGGGTGATATAATATAGAAATGAAAAGATGAAAGGGTAGACTGTTAAGTCTACTATTGAACAACCACCAGTCTCACATATTTTACATTGGTATGGACTTTTGTATATTGATACAAATTTAAGATTATGTATTTTTTAATAATATGTCTTATTCCTTTCTCCTTTTTAAAAAGAGTTTTAAATTTATTAAATATACAACATTCTACTTCCATGTATGTCTGTGGACCAGAAGAAGGCACCAGATCCATCACTCAGGACCTCAGGCAACCAGATGTTTCTGTCATTTCTATAGTTTTTGAAGTTGCTTGCTATGTACTTCCTGTTGACTCATATGGGTCAAAGATGGGAACTGAAGTCTAGATAGTTTTACATTTTTCTTTTGTACCAAATTCAGAAAACAAATTTTCCTAAGAGATGTAAAGTTTATATGGCTGAGAAACATAAAAAGCTTAATGTGTTTATCTAAAAGATGTTTTAAGGTCTAAAAAGATATTTTTTTAGGATGGAAATACAGTTATGACAAAAATGGTTTAGGTATAAAACTTTGGACTAAGATAGGATAGATAATGGAATATTTTCTCTAAATTTGCAAAATGCAAATGAACTGGGCATTGTAATTGTAATATCCAATAGCTAGGCATGATTTCTAGACACAGAGGACACTGGGAAGAGGATGGGCAGAAGGAGCACTATGGAGATGAGGTAATAAAGCCACAAGGCAGAAAAAAATTAATAGATACAGGCTAGTTTAAGTTTAAAGCTAGCTAGAAATAAGTCTAAGCTGTCAGCTGAGTGTTCATAACAATAAGTGCCTATGTCATTATTGGGGCTGATGGTCCTGTCGAAAGGCCTGGACTACAGTAGTCAGTGCTCCCTGATTACCTGAAGGCTGGGTCTCCCTGCACATTTGTATACTGACTTTTTGCCTTTGCTATTTGTGTTCAGTGCTCTCTCACACTAGTCTTCCAGCTCAACACCAAAGACTTCGAGGCTTCTCTTAATTAAGCCTGATCTGACTCCCTGCTTTCTGCCTAGAATAGACTTGGCTTTCTCTTTCTCAGCTGGGTACAGAGAGGAAAACATTATGAGACTGCTTCTAGAGACCCTGCTCTCCTTGAGCCATTACATGCTTACTGAAGGCAGAAGCTGGATTTCATTCCTTGTCTGCCTCTCTAGTACATTCACAATCAATATTGTTGAATTTTTTAATGAACAGTTGAATTAATGCATTGTGGTAGGTACTCTTAACATCTGCACAATTTATATACCATGCATTAAGGGCATTGAGGCAGGAATTACTACCTTCACTCATTATCCCCAAGGAAACAATCTCCCCAGGTGGTGAGCCATGATACCAGTACTTCAGAGTGGTGGCTATGCTGTGTGCAGCCAAAATACCTCCAAACTCCTTTCCAGTGTTGCTTAAGTTTTGAAGTGTCCTCACAAAATCTTTTTTTATCCACTGACTGAAAGAAAAGAAAAAAAAGCAATTTCACAGCAGAAAGAGGGATGGAAAGGGATGTCCTCTGAGCCCCGGGAACTCAGCACAGGGAGTTATTTGCACCATCTAAACAGTAATGTGACACACATGCCCTTTTTTCAAGTGTCCTCATTAGCAATGAAAGTAATGCAATCAGGCAGAAAGGAACCGCCAAATTTCAGTGTGAAGTATATGGGACACACTGAAAAGAGGTCAAAAGCTATAGAAACTGTTTCTTTCATTACAAGTAAATAATCATATGTAGATGCTTTCTTGGGACAAGCCGTATCCTTCATTTAAAATCAAACAGTTCATCAAACAATGAATTATTCACATTGAGATTTGGGGTAATATGTTTTATGGTATGGTAGTACAAACTCAGGAAAGAGCCCAGATGGGTGAAAGCAAGGTTTGCCCTATTGGTGAGTCAGCGAAATGCCCCAGACTCTTGGAACATTGTCCTTGTGCGAGCAGCACCTGCAGAGGAACCGGGCTCCAGGAGAGGGAGCCCAGCACACACTGTTCTAAGCATGGATACTGTTCCCTAGTCTGAAGAGGGGAAGGAAATAAAGGAGAAAGGAAAAGCTGCAACTGGGGAGCTGGGGCAGAGATCAGAAAAGTGCTTTTCCGGATGAATCCATTACTTTTCCTATTTGTTCTATACAGGACAGGCCATGCTGCCATTTCCATTCTAGCAAGGGAGAAGCTGAGGCACAAAGTCGATGTAACTTCTCTAAAGCCACACAACTAATAAATGATGGGGACAGAATTCCAAGCCAGGTGGCTTCCTGCTCCTGGGACACACCACTTTTCAGCTCTGCCTCTCTTGGGACTTAATGGTCAGCATGACACAGCCTGCTCATCGTCTTAACTCCCCTTCTTACAAATGCTTCAGCTACTTTCTACTTGGATATACATTTGTCTTTACATTGACATTTTCTTTGTGCTTAACAGAATTTATGAACTACCTTCAGGATAACCTGAAACACAAAACTTTGTAATTTTAAAATAAATAAAATGGGAGTGGGGACCAATAAGTTACTATTCTGTGGATTTTTCTGATTCTTCAATATAAAACAGAAAAATAAGTGCATAAACAATGCACGTTATTTTGTGCAAAATGTACAAAATGTTTTAATAGCGCTTTCAACTGTTACACATTATTCAATTTATCTAATGTTAGTATACTTCACTTAAAAAATATATTGTACCTGTCAAAAATCAGGCTTAACACAGAGTGATAATATCCAGGAGGTCCCCAAATAGCACTCTCATAGTTGTAAACTTTTGCTTTCCTGAGATCAACGTAGTTATTTCCACTGATGTTGCCCCAAATTATCACATCTTTGATGCCTATGCAAAACAGAATCAGAAATAATCATAATAAAATTCATCAATGTAAAATTTACTCAAATGCAATGCTTTGTGTATATATTTGTTTTAGGGTTGTCCAATGAAGTCTAAGCTCTCTAACCTGGGTAGAGACTGTGGTTCACCTCCCTAATTATCAGGGCTTGATAGTAGTGCCTTGTGAATGGGGTGCTAGATGGGTAATTCAAGGAATACTGAGAACCTGCCATGTAAGAAATTGCTAATGAAAAATGTGTCATTTGTGCTGTTCATTCTCTCTCTCCCCCCTCTCTCTCTCTCTCAGACACCACACACACATGCAGGTGTGTAATGCATGACCATGTGTGCATAAGTGTACACATGTAAGCTAGAAGTTGCATTGGGAATCTTCCTTGGTCATTCTCCACTGTATCTTTTAAGAGAGGATGGGTCTGGCTGGCCAGTGAGTCCTGAACACTGGCCTGCCTCCACCTCCAGTGTGCTAGGGTTACAGATGCATGTAGTCACACCCACATTTTACTGACTGAAATGTTTCTCATGACCCAAGGCAAACTTTCAACTGTTTAGAGTTTTACAAGGCACTAGATTCAGGCAGACATGTGTGCAAATGACAACTTTTGGCAGGTTTTATCACCCGTAAAACAATGCTGATTATAGTCTTTATGGGAGGTACTTTTAGAAACAAGGTTTTTGGGCTGTGCAGTGATGTCATACATCTTTAAACCTGGTACTCCGGAAGCACAGACAGGTGGATCTCTGTGAGTTCGAGGCCAGCCTAGTCTACAGCGAGTTTCAGGAAAGTTAAAGGTACACAGAGAAACCCTGTCTCAAAAAAACAAACCAACAAGGTTTAGGAGAAAACAAACTAATTCTATGCCTTACAACATTTGAGGATGGGGGAGGTGGGGTGAATGAGAAAGCAGTACAACACAGTCACGTGGTGCTTAGAGACCTATGGAGAAAAATAAAAGAATATGCATTGGAGGAAATAAGGACTGGAATTTAATATGTATGATTTCTGCAATTGTTGATTTTCTGGAATGGTTTTGTGCAAGTTAGAAAATAATTTTATTTGCTTACTCAACTATTTTGTTTTAGTTATAGTTATATTGCTGTGATGAAATCATGACCAAAGCAATTGGGATAGAAAGGGTTTATTAGGCTTACATTTCCACATTGTGGTTCATCACATGCCTCAGTTAGCCACACCAGTTTTTCTTTTTATGGAGGGTGTAGCAGGACTGGAAATAACCAAAGCTCTCATGCACATCAGCCAAAAGTTCTACAACTGACCTACAACCCCAGTCCTTTATTATATGGAAACCCCAGTGCTTTATTATATGGAAAATTTCAAGGAGAAGCAGGGGTAACTTTGAGATCACTTTAATTACTGTTTGCTGCTACTGTTGGTTTATTAGGTTATTGCTATTCATTATTGCTAATCACTTGTGGCTCTGAGTTTATGAATTAAACTGGACCACAGTACACGTGCACAAGAAAAAGCTAGGAGGGATGATGGGCTAGTCTAGGTGGCATCCCCCGAATGAGGGAGGATCACAGTGACTTTCCCTGGATAATGGAGGGCCACACTGGCTCCATATATCACTCCAAAGGTACTCCTTACATCTGTTTGTCATATGTCATACATCCATGTCATACATCTTGGATGGTCCTGTAGGGTACAGCCTTCTTTCCCCGATATTTGAACCCATGTATCAAAACACAAACAAACAGCAGGAAGTGTTCACTCACTGGACGAGGTTGTTTTCATCTTTCTGGCCACTGTTGCTTTGGCTTGGCCTTCTACCCCCAGCGCCACTGCAATGATGTTGTGTGCCATGTTAGGGGCATATTGCATAAGCAAGGCTGTTTTAAGATTCACAAAGGTTTTCCCTCCCACGATGACCTTGACAGACTCGTGGGCATTTTTCTCTATTAGGGAACCGTAGAGGCGACACAGTGGCACTCTGCTTCTCAGACAGCTCTCCAGGGTGTACACCTCCTCGTCTGTGCTGTCATCCAGGATGATGATGACTTGGGCCCGAAGGAAGGCGCCCTCCGTCTTAGTGCAGAAGGAGACACTGTGGAGGATGGGTGATGCCAAGTCCTCAACTTCCAACACTAAGCTTTTCAGGGAGTTTTCCTTCTGCTCCCTGTCAAACAGGGTCAGGCTGATATCCGTGTGCATCCCAAACACTTCTCCACTTATCAAGAGGGGGATGAGGTGGTAGCAAGAATTGGCACTTGCACTGGATAAATGCAAAAATAGGATGGAAAATGGTTAGGCCTTTTGTTCACCTATGTGCTTTACTCTTAACTTTGTGTATACCCTCCATAGGATGACTCACTATTTTACACAAAAATGTTCACACCTGCACAGCTGTGCCTGGGAATCCAGAGTGGAATGAGAAAGTCTCACTACTCACAATATCTTGGTGATACCACAAAATAAGAATTTACTGGTGTACTAGATGTTTCAAATAAAAGCTCTCTCACATGCAGTAAAAAAGCAAAAATAAATACTAAGCAAATAAAAACTCCTTTCAGATTGTTGTGTACTTATGCCTCTTCATGAAAAGACCAAGATGCATGCTTCCATTAGCCATTGCCTTTTTTGCCTTTATCTAGAAACGAATGCCTTCATTTGGGGGCAGACCATCTTTCTCACAGTCTCACAAAGAAAAGTCCTTACATGGATGGCTAGGATAAGCACAGGCCGTGTGATCTCTTTGAAACCAACTATGCCTGAATCTTCTATTTCAGTGATGACCAACTGTGGGAGGTGGGGATGGAAACTGCATTTGAGAATGTCTGTTACTCTTGGTGGGCTTAGGTTGGGTACGGTGGTTGATGCCCATTTCAGTTCTTTATTTTGGAGAGGGTGGTGGACATGAATTGTACAACTTCTGAATCTTTTCAGTGTTTGTAATATTCCATAATTATACATACTTCTTTAAAGCAGGCATATGTTAGGGTACCACATGGTGTGAGAAGGACAGTGTCGGTTGGATGGAGGTGATGGAAGCACATATAGAAAGAGAGAGGGCAGAGACAAAAAGAGAGGAAGTGACACATGGGGACAACGAAGAGCACATTTGAGAAGGAGAAAAGGAAGCAGCTTTGGGGATCAGGGCTGCAGACGGTGTATGAAGAAGAACTAAGGAAAACCAGAGGGAGAGAGCAATGATCCGAGAGGATACAGTACATGTATATGTGTAAATCCTAGATCAGGCAAGGATGGATGCTGAAGAGTAGAGACATGGAAGCACTCATACATGTACCAACCCAGACCCGTGAATACAAACATACACACATGCAAATCAAACTTGTGTCAGTATTCTACCATCATTGAATCAATCACATTCCATTGTCATTTCTTAAAAAAAAATATCAGGCCCATGAGGTCCTGGGGCTTGGCTCTCTCACCTGGCAACCCAGACCTGCAGAGGGTTGATGAGGTCTTTCAGGACTTCTTTCTCCAGCACTTCTTCTTCAAGTGCCTGCAGGTTCTCTTTAGCAACGACCATCATCAGGTCCGTTGTCATGCTGGAAGTGACACCATAGTAAAGCTAAATATCAGAAAAGAAAAACTCAACCTCAGAGACTAGAACGTTATCAGACAAAGACTAGAATGGAAAGAAGACTAGGAGAGAGATGATACAATGGGTTAGAAAGCAAGACATTTGAAACTTCAAAGTAATGTCAAGAGAAGGATGCTTGTACAGATAAACAATGCAATTCCCACACCTGGGCATGCTCCAGGAACTCATTGTACCCTCCCAAAAGCAAGCCCTTGCCTCCACGATCTAGCAGCTCTCTCCAGATAATGGGGGAGGTGTTGTGATCCCACTTGTTCTTTTCACAAACATCTTCCAGCCACTCCTGTGGGAAAAGATTCCAATAAGAGTCATATATCAAATCTGCCAAAGAACTCAGTTCATTATTGCTAGACATAAACAACAAAGTATTGGTTTGTTTTAATGCTACGGTGTGTGCATAATACATTTAGATCTCTTTAAATGGTAAAATGTAAACATAGGAAATAGTGGTGAGCCTGGTTGCTCATGCCTTTAATTGAAGCATTGGGGAAGTGGAGGCAAGTGGATCCCTGTGAGTTCTTTCAAGCCAGCCAGAGCTACATAGTGAGACTCTATCTCAATAAAAGAAAAAAATTAGCAGCCAACCAACCAAAGAATGAATGGATGAAATAAAGAAAATAGCGATGAGATAACAGGAATATCCTCCAAATCCAGTGGCTAAATAAAGTATAGACACTTGCTCCTTTGCTGAAGTGAATGTGTTTAACTTAAAGAGATGCTGTGGAACAATCTTTGTACACTGTAAATGTGCATTGCTCTCATTGTTAATAAAAAGCTGTTTGGCCAATAGCTGGACAGGGAGAAATTGGGCCAGACAGCCTGACAGAGAGAGAATTCTGGGACAAAGAAGTGCAGTCAGAGGGGCGGGGTCAGAGAGTCACAGGCAGAGGCAGAGAGCACAATGGTCACTCTATAATGAAAAAAAAAAGTACCAAGCCATGTGACAAAGCATAAATAGGAATATGGGTTAATTTAAGTGTAAGAGTTAGCTAGTAAAAAGCCTGAGCTATTGACCAAACTTTTATTAGTAATATTAAATCCCCTAGTCAACTATTTGGGAAATAGCAGGCTGGCTGGCAGGCTGGAGAGAAGTATCCAATTACAAAGAGAGGCCAGGTATTCTAAGTTGGCTGAAAAAAAAACATATATTTATTATACATGAGTTATTTCTAGTTTTATGACCTCATAAATTTTGATACTGCTTTTCAAATCTATGGTCATGGTTTCTATGGTTTAGACTGAATTAATGAGCTAAAAGCTATCTGGGGGACTTCTCATCATACTTCTCGGAAAGAAGTTTAAGTTATCATTATCTGGTTTGGGTAGACCAAGATTTCCAATATTAAGAACTGGGAAGCCAAGAGGGACAGAATTCTTCTCACTAAGGTACAGCTGAGCAATCCTAAAGACCCACCATTGGAGGCAAATATACGGAGGCCACCTAACAAACAAAACTCCTTTTCTTGCCGGTGTTGAAGATGCCCATGCTTTTTTCCATCCAAAAACAAGAAGACTGATATTTCCAACACAGTCTCTCTAAACCACTTCATAGCTTGGCTGGTAACACACTGGGCTGGAGGAAGACGGTGATCTGCCCTAAAGGACTATACCAAAGGGAATAAGCTAATGCTCTTTCAGCAGCTGGGAGAATGTGTAGGACAGAATTCTCAGAGTCCTAAATCGGCAGTGGAACATAAAGGGAGCCGGGAGACTTCTTCTGTGTGAATCACTCTTCTGTGGTCTTGGGAGGTCCCCAGAAGACAGTGGTAATGTATTACTTGACTGTGGGTTAAAGCGATTGCCACCAAACCTGACAAACTAAGTTCCATTTCTGGGACTCGCATAGTTGGAGGACAGAACTGGCTCAGCAAAACATTCTCTTATCTTCTCATATCTTAGCACATGCAGGTCTCACCACAAAATACATAATTGCCTAAGTTAATTCATTTAAAAAAGGCTCAGTGGGCATAGCACATGGGAACCTGGATAAACTGCTACTCAGCCACATTTCTGGGGGAGCCCAGATAATATTTCATTCGCCAGAGTCCTAAGAAATGCACTGGAAAGATAATGAACCTTGTATGGCAACTGGCTGGAATAACAAGTCATGGAAGCACAAATGATGAGGGAAAGGCCCACCAGAGAGCAGCTGTTTGAAAGGAATACTAGCCAGCCCCACAGACGTGGCACAGTCAGGTAAATGGCCTCACAAGACGTTAGGCATAAGTTCAAGAAAAGGGCCTGGAATCTCAAAAGCCTAGATAGTTCTTACCACGGCTAAATGGTCAGTGTGCCAGTAACAAAGATCAGTGCTAGCATTTGATAATGGCACCATCCTTTCTCCAATGAAAACACATGGCACTGGGTTCTCTCTACAATGTAAAGGACAATGATCTGTCTAGATTGAAATCAACACATGTTCTGGGTAGGGAATGACAATTCCTGCTCATAGTGCTTTCATGGGAAACCCTGCCTAAGCACTCACAAAATGTTTAACCTGCCAACTCTAGGTCTTGCAGACATCTTTAAACCAAAGGGATCACTTTATAAGAAAACAGGTATAGTGCTGAGCATCACTAGGGGTATAGTGTCACTATCATACATCACTAAGTTTGATAGAGGGGCAGGGCAGGCCAGCAAAGCTGTGAACACCAGCTAGAAGACCGACATATGGCAAGAATGGTCCGTCCCCTTCAGGTCGTAAAACGTATCATTTATTACTGGAGTGTTTCCCTCTATTAGGTAGACGACTTAGAATTCAGGAATCAAGGGCAGAATTATTTGCCATCATTTCTGGGGGGGGGCTCTTGGAGAATTTATGCTTCTTTCCTCTAGCCTGTGTGAGTTGAGAGGTTTTTCATTTCCAAAGAGGAGCATTTCTAGCAGAGGACATAAGAAGAATCCCACCTTTAAGCTTCAGCTGACATTGGTCACAGTGAGATGAGAGACCAGCAGGCAAAGGAGTAGGTTATTGCTGTGGAAGGGGTAACTAGACCTGCTAATCAGGAGAATGTACAACAGATACTACCTAGAGTAACGTATTTAACCTCTGGGTTATCGTTTGGGCATCTCTGGTGATGCTCTGCTCAATTTTGACCATTCAAGGGAAAGTGTAACAGTCATGTTTTTCAAAGGGACCAGGGCTCACATCCTGTAAGTACACAGAACTAGGTCATCACACCTAACAAGTAGCCCAGAGCAGTAGAGGGGGACCTCTAATGGATGGTAGGGAAGAGAGATGAGTGCCAGTTTGGCTCTGAAACTACATGCACTGGGGAACACAGTTCATTAACAAGCTTTCCTTTAATAAAGTCTTCCCAGGGAGAAGTCTTCATCTGAACCTCTGTAGAGCTGTTACCAGATGGTGTGAATTTACTTAATGGAGCACAAGGATCCAGAGGCTCAGTGGGTGGACTGTACCAGATAGTCATCAATAGTCCAGGTTCCTTCCCTCTCACAACCAAGGCACTTGTGCCTCAAGTCACCAGGGATGTTAGAGGACAATGCCCTAGCTGCTGAGTCTCTCTCTAGGACTGACCTCAGTTGAAGGGATTTCCCTTAACTAAGGTCAAGCCTCCTTCCTTGGAGCAGCCCACATAAGGTGACTGGCTGATGCAGGACTCTAGAAGCTCAGCTACCTTTCTTGAACATGGGGTATTTTGAAGGGATCCCCAACACACTTTCCCCGTAGGCTCTCCTGACTTCTCTGCTACAGCCATATTGTAGTATCCCCCTTTGCCTAATGCTTATGCCCTCATCCTCATTTCTTCACAGGATGTTCTGAGAGCGCTTTCTTGTAAGACTTCATCTTCAAATGTCTCCGTCTTGCAGTCTGTTTAGGGGGCAACACAGACACAGATATGGATATCTCAAATAAGTAAGTCCTCATACCATTAGGACTCCATGAAGAGGAGAAAGAAAACTTTAAGTTGTACAAACTACCTGCTTTCTTGATAGGGCCTGGGGCAGAATCAACACTTTCATTCCACTTATTTGACTCTCCTTTGTGCTATTAGGTATTAACAAAACAAACAAAACAAAACAAAAAAAAAAAAACATGTCTTGAGACTGATAAGTAGAAGTCACTTTTACTAGTATCCAAATGTGATTAATACATGAACAGTCATTGTTAGAAGCCAAAACAATACACTAGCCAGTGTTTTATCAAAGTACAATACTTTCTTGCATGGGTGCATTTAATAACTAAAAAGGTTCTTACCTCCCACACATCAGGATGCTGTGTGATTTTAAAAATCTGAAAATCAGGAAGATTCTTCTGTAAATAGTCTGCCAGGAGTTCAGCCTTAGCATAATATGGGCAGTTTGCTTTACCTGGAAGAGTTCAAATTAGCAAAGCTTTCTTTTAACACACACAAATTGTCATGCTGCTGTGAGGATTTGCCAGACACTTAGAGAATGCACCATGGTTATAATATAATTTTATAACAGAATTACAAAGTAACCTAAAACACAAACATCTAGTTTTTGTTACATCAATAGATCATAGATCAGCCTTACACAATAAAACTTGTGGAAAGAAGAATGTTTGAAATATTTACTCTCCACATACTGTTTAAATATGACATAATAACAGTGAACTACTTATTAGAAGCCACTCAAGTGTCCAGTGAGACACCTCAACTGATTAAGACACTTGCCATCAAGCCTGAAGGACACACATTGTAGAAGGAGAGAACCAACTCCTCCATATTCTCCTTTAACCCCTGCATGTAACCCCCCATGAGCCCACACATGTAAAACAAATTAAGGCTTCAAAAAAACAATAACAACAACACTCAAAGATACAGTCTGAGGAAAGGAGTGGAAATATAGTTCCTTTTAGATTTGGTGTATGGTCCAGGATGGTGGAAAAGCTGAAGGAGAAGGAAGAATCAGGGGCTAACTTCTATTTTCTGGCTGGCCTAATTGGAGAAAAATCTTGGGTGAGATATTCAGACAAGCGCATTAGGAGAAACATGCAGTGCACAGGGGCATATAGGACTGACATGTGTCTGATGTTCAGTCTGCAGCGCATGTGCCAAAGGAGAGCTTCAGATGCACATATTGCTGTGAGGAGCACACAGGAAGTTAAACCACCCCAGGGAGTGAGATGGGTGTCAGTATAGGAGGACAGGCTAACTGCAGTGCCTTTCCCAGCCCCACAAACCCCTCAACACCTCTGTATGTGTAAGCCTCTCGGTCTAGTTCAACCATTGTTAATTACTTCAAACCCACTTTATGGCCCACATTTAAATATCCTGTCCATTTCCTGGGAAATTAGCTTGTAAAAGCCCTGTACCTGAGATGACCTCAATTTCCTGCCTTTTCTGAATCCAGATTCCTTCTGCCCAGACATCACTGAGAAGGTAATGGGGAGAGGGATATAAAGAATGGAGAACATTCTAAAGGAAAGGGGTCCCACTTATACTCTGACCTATCCCCTTTTGTCTTCTTGGAAGCCTTGCTCAACAAATTATTCCCACACCATTAGACTCTTATTTATGTTTCTAGTATCTCCTTTCAAGTATATTTAAACACATTCAACTTAAACTTCAGTTTCTTCTTCCTAAACAACAAAAGCTCATGTCTCCTCTCCCCCAGGCATTGCTTTCTATGTGCCCTTTCTGTTTCAACTTCTTTTAAAAATCTGTCCTTGTCATCCTTGGTTCTTATACTTTCATTCATTTATTAATCTAGCATCTCTCACAAATTCCCAGGAGGAAATGGTATTAAGTATAAATTTTATATTTTGTAACATTATATGATAGCATATAAACATGTAATATAAAAGCACATTTTATATTAGTTATATTAGTTATATTAATGATGTAGAAATGAACACTTTGCATTGGTATGGATTTTAGCTTATTGATACAAATTTAAGGTTAATTTTGTTATATGTATATATCTAATATTGTTTAGGCATTGTGTTTATACAGCTCATTTAAAAATGCAATGTATTGTGTGGGAATCAAGATTCACTGGATATAAAGTCACCTATAATAGCCAAACTTAAAGTTATGTTAGCTAGGTTTTCTAGATATACAGAGATATATTTCACATGGATAGGCATTCTTCAAAACCTTTCAAAGACCTACAGAACATGGCATTTGAAATGGTTTATTAGGGTTTTTATGACGATGAGACACAAGTGCGCCTGGGAACACCAATTACATTGAAGAGGATAATGGGCATTGAAGAAACTCATTATGGATTTTGCCTTCAATGTGGCAAAGATTGCCATTTGGACAAGTAACTGCTCTTGCCAGGACTGCTTGACAGGAGTCACTGCCCAGACTGGACCAGCAGGTTACAAAGAAAAGTGACTGCTGAGCTTGCCTAGGGACAAGATGGTCCTTCAATGTTTCTGCTTCATCAAAAAGTCTGCTGGACATTCTAGGCTAATAGGCTAAAGAGGGATGCCCCAATATTACAGAGAAACTTTGGGTGGTTTTTCAGGTAGCAAGATGTCTCTCTTAATTCTAGAGTTTATATAGTATCCTTCTCCGGTCTTTGATGGAGTTGAAAACAGATAGTTATAGCTATGGTTTTCCTTAGTTATGATAAAAGGTAAGTTACACATAGGATAGATGATAGAGTATTTTCTTTAAATTTTGTCAAATGTTAATGAACTAAATATTATTAACTATATTTCTTGCTTGATAACTATTTTGTTATATATGATTTTACTATGTTAAAGTTAAAACCTTCCTTTTTATTTAGACAGAAAAGAGGAGCTGATGGGGGATGTCCTTCTGTATGCTGTGAATATATGTTTCTCTTATTGAGTAATGAATAAAGCTGTTTTAGCCAATGGATAGGCAGGATGTAGCCAGGCAGGAAGTATAGGCGGGGCTACCAGACTAGAACACTGGGAAGAGGAGTTCAAATTCAGAGAGTGAGTTGCCACAGAGACATCATGTAGGTGCTTAGAAAGCAAGAGGCTCAGGCATCATCAGTAAAGCCACGACTATGTGGAGACACAAAGATAAATGGAGCTAAATGGCAGCAGGACTGGGTGGGACAGAAACTTCCATATTAAATATAAATTAAACATAAAAATTAAAGTCCTTAAGGCCCTTAGTACAATTAGCAATTTTTAAATCTTTCTCCTTGATCCTGGTAGCGTTTATCACTCTTACCTTTTTCTACTTCCAGTGGGATAGGTAAATCCTGGAGGGCATCACTATGGTGGGATATTCTACAGGTTTTACTTCTAAATTTCTGGCTAATCTTATCCATACCTTGTAAGTTCCTGTTTCTTCATTAATCCATTAAAAGATTCCATTCTGCAAAGCATATGATTTGTGTATATTTTTCTGGCTAAGCTCCTTGTTTTATGTAGCAATTTGTATTCCTAGCTTAGTGTCTTATCTAGATGTCTACACTTTGCCATATTCTACCATCTTTCTGGTTACATCTTTCTGGATGTAACACGGGCACTGGGCAGTATAAAGTTTGGCCTCTGTTCTGAAATGACTAAGGCAACACCATCTTGTTCCACCATCATTTTGGATTTCCTTAAACAGTTCTCAGTCCTCTATCCCCCTCCCCCAATAGTTATGCCTGCCTTGGTAACACACTTGAGATTTGCATGGCCTCAACCATCTTCTGGATGTATTAACAAAAGTAAAGTTAGCTAAAATAACCAAAGAAAATACACTTCAGAAATATTTCTTATGCTAGGTATGAAATATTACCAAGCTCTTCCAGGAATGGACTTTTCAAGGACACTCTGACCTTTACCTTTAAAACCACCGAATCCTGAGCTTGGGCATCAAGAGACTTTTCAGATGCACCAGGCTACTCTTGTTCTAGCCATTATAAAAGAATAAAAAGTTTAATTGGCAGTTGTCAATATTTTCTCATGTGGATCATTTCAATTCCAAGAAGGGAGGAGACTCCTACATTTCCTATAGATGCTATGTCCATCTCCTTATTTAAGAATATAAGGGTAGTCAGGTGTGGTGGTGCATACCTTTGATTCTAGCACTCTGGAGGAAGAGAAAGGCAGATCTCTGTTAATTTGAGCTCAGAATGGTCAGGTTCAAATTGGCCAGGACTATACAGTGAGACTTAGTCCCAAAAAAGAGAGAAAATACTATGTATATATAGATGATTCAACTTATTCTTTGAATGAAAGTTTTTCAAATGACCCCCAATCTATCTAGTTATCCACTGCTTAAGAGTATAACTTCCCCTTCATTTCCTTACTCATTTAGTGAATCAGACATCTTGTTCCACATATTTCATCTTGGATCATTTCCCAGCCCATTTGCTTTTCTCCATTCATATTGACCAAAGTACTAAAGCAGCTGCTTCCTACACTAGCTACAGTCTCTTAACTGGTCTCTTATTGCATACATAACACTTATCTTCTTATAAAAACCTTTCCAGGTGATTTGGCCAAAGTCTAAACTATTACATGTAGCTCAGAAGAATCTTCTGAGCTTAGGACACTATTCCTTGCACCCTTTCTTCTGGTTCTACCAAACTCATTTCAATTGTATGCTTACTAAATCCTCTCAATTATCACCAAATTTGACTGTGATTTCTGACAAGACCTAGAGACTGGGACCGTGGCTTCATGGGTACCTGGCATCTGCATCACCGAGTGCTCTCAGATATTATGGAATATTCCTTTATACTGTGTGAAGATATGTCACTGTTATTGGTTTAATAAAAAGCTATGTGGCCAATAGCTAGGAGGGATGTATAGCTGGGACTTTTGAACAGAGAGTGCTCTGGGAAGAAGAAAGGTGGAGTTGTGAGGCAGATTCAGAAGGAGCAGGATGGGCTAAATGGAGGTGTGGTAATGAGCCTGTGGAAGAACATATACTAAAAAAATATGGGTTAATTTAAGTTATAAGATCTAGTTAGAAACAAGCCTAACCTAAGGCCAAGCTTTCATAATTAAAAATAAGTCTCTGTGTTGTTTTGTGAGGGACTAGTGGGACAGAAAAAGACTGGTTATATTCAGAAGAGCCATGGGTTCAAAATTATTACCTGAATGTATTGGGTTTTCATGCACAACCATACATCATCTTTGTAAGTTCCGCACACTCCAGCTCTACTTCCTGTTATCCACACCTGAATTGCTCTGTTTCTTCCTGCATCTTCTTTGCTTGGTAACTCTATTGTCCAGGCATCTGCTTAACCACCTCTCCTTCTGGAAGCCCTTGCCTAGTAAGGCCCTTTGACACCTTCCCCTCTAGAACAATGTCCTGTTACTATTATATAAAAAATGTCCTAAAACTGTTGTACCATATTCCCACCATCCAGTTTTCTAGTGCTAAGAACTATCTGAACACATAGTGAAGCTAGAGAAATACTTTCAAAGAGATGGTAAACGTCAATTATATTCAGTACAACAAAGAAGTCAACTTTGAACAGGGCTCCAGACCTTAGCACAAATGACTCCATGGTGGAATTACCATGCAGGCTGTAAAACTCAGCAGGTAGACAGCATCATCTGCCAAAACTAAAACAAAGGCATAATCCATTAAAGTTCAAATAGTTCTGGGGAAGCCTCAGAATGTATTAACCTTAGATTTTTAGCTTCTGTAGTTCTGCTTCTGGCTAATTGTTCTTGTGTACTGAAGTATGTCAATCCAGAACATGCTTTTTTGTGCTTACAAGCTTACCCTAAGAAAGGTTCAGGGCTACACCCAGTGTAGTTGCCAGCTGGCTAATAAAGACTTTCTGTTGGCTTAAACCCATGTCTGAGCAGGCTTCTCTGGTGAATAGCCCACAACAAACTAAGACAAAGCCTAAACAGCATCTCTAAGAGATCATTGGTGATTATGGTGAAAACAGTTTGCATATGAGGGCAAAAGTAGAAGTCAGATTAGAGATAGAACAGCAGTGAGCTCTTTTAAGAAACTTGAAGAGAAGTGAGAAATCAGACAAACAGTAAGCATTCTGTCACAGCAAGTGGCGGTGTTGCTAGTAGCTGGCGAGATAACCTTTTAAAAATGAAAACCCATTGACACTATTTTACCTAAATTCTTTGCATGGTTCTTCATTATGTTCAAGATCTAGTTAAAACATTTTTTTCTAGGTTTTTGTAAGATATAAGAGTCTAGTGTCTATTTCGTAAGTCTAACCCGAGGTCCTGCCATACTCCCAATCCAGTTTCTCCATTAGACTACATCTCTTCTAGCCTTTATCTGGAATAGTTCCTCTAACAATTTCTCTATTTTGTTCCTTGTGTCCCTCCCTTCTCTACTCCACACTCCCATATTCGACCAGAGGCCTGTGCACCTCTCCCTCATTGTATTAATCACGACAGATCAAAGTAATTCTTTTTTGTTTGTTTTTGTTTTGTTTTTTTCGAGACAAGATTTCTCTGTAGCTTTGGAGCCTGTTCTGGCCTGGAGGACCAGGCTGGCCTCGAACTCACAGAGATCTGCCTGCCTCTGCCTCCCCGGGGCTGGGATTAAAAGGCACGTGCTGCCACTGCCCAGCCCAAGGTAATTCTTTACATGTTTTGTACCCTCGTGGGAATTAAAACTCGCCAAGGGCAGGGATGAAAACTTTCCCCACCGTGTCCCCAGTGCTCATGAGACTTTGGCACACCACCACTGTCTAAGGCGTATCTTGGAATGAATGCCTAGAAAGCCGGAGGAGATCCGTCAGAGAAGGGGCTGCAGAATAGAAGCTAGTTAACAAGGCTGACTAACGGCCACGGGGAACGATCTGTGGACTCGCTGGAGAAGAACTCACCCGCGATCACGAATTTGGCCATGATCTATGCACGATCTAGAGACTGGGACCAAGGCGTCGCGGTTTCCTGGCAACCGTGCTATTAAGAGTGGCGCCTGCGCTTTCAGAAGCTGCCACATCGCTAGAGGCGAGTTCAAAGTTACATCTTGAATGTATTGAGTTCATACATGTTATAAGCTCCGTGGCCCCCTACAGTTCCCGGCTCTATCTCTTTCCTTGAGAAGGGAAACCATTCTTTCTGAGATTGTTTTCCCTCTTTATATGTAGCATTCTACGGCCGCCGCGAACTCATACTTTTTGACCTATACAGGAATCCGTATGCCATCACCAGACGCGCCACTTTGGGCGGAACTGTCATGGCTGCGCCTATGCGTTACCACAGGGTTCTGTCCTGAGGTGAGTGGGTGGCGAGAATAAGCGGAATCATGGGCGATATCGTAGTAGTCTTTTTATCCGGTGGAGAAAAGTTTGAGAAGTGTCTTCGGTTTTAAGTTGAGGGTGGTGTGTTGATGTTGCGTGGGAGAACGCTGGCTCCGGTTTCGGGATCTTAATGCGGCTTCTTAAGCACAGAGAACATCGTTTATATTTTGTTATTTTTGCTTTGTTTTGTTTCCGAGACAGGGTTTCTCTGTCTAGAATCCCGGCTATCCTGGAACTCACTCTGTAAACTATGCTGGCCTCGAACTCACAGAGATCCTCTGCCTCTGCCTCTCAAGTGCTGGGATTAAAAGCGTGAGCTACCACCGCCTGGCCGTTTTCACTCTTTTGCTTGCTTGTTTTGTTTGTTTTTGTTTTAGTTTGGCTTGTTCTGTTTTGTTTTTGTTTTTGTTTTTTTTTTTTTTTTTTTTTTTCCAGACAGGGTTTCTCTGTAGCTTTGGAGGTTGTCCTGGAACTAGCTCTGTACACCAGGCTGGCTTCAAACTCACAGATATCCTCCTGCCTCTGCCTCCCGAGAGCTGGGATCAAAAGTTTTCACCACTACCTCCCAGCCATTTCTAGTTTTTTTCTTCCTTCCCTAAGCAAGGTCGTCCTGTCCAAGTACATTTTCTTAATGGTTTAGGTTTGGCCATTGCTAAATCATTTGGTTGAAAGCGTCCATCAATGATACCTTTTACAACGGAGACCTCTAAAGTAGTGTTAACAAAATTATCCTTAGCAGGAGAAGACTTATTGAACACCTACCTACACGGGAAATCATTATTATTGTTATTATTTGTCAAAACGCTACTTTATACTTCAACTGCTAAAGTGACTGACCTAGGTCCTGTACAATGATGTACACATTGGAATAAAAGTGGGAGAAACATACCATACTGGGGATATAGTTTTACCATTTTAATATGAAGCTGTAGTGGCTCGTAGGTACTATGCAAGCTCCTGTTGGATGCATTTCCCTTATTTAAGCAACAATTTTTAACTGTTATTTCTTTTATTTACCTATTCCCTGCAGGATAGCCCACAGCATGTACTCTTAGGGAAGAAGTTAAGTTTTGTTGTATCTTGAGTCTTTGAAAATTTGCCAGTGGATAGCAAAATGAATAACCAAGCATATTCCTTATTATGGAACACCAAACAATTGAGTACTTTAGTTCCAAGAAGCAGATTTTTGAGGATATATCCTCTGAGGTTTTGCAGACCAGAAATTGTTCATTCAAAATGGAACCCAAGAAACCATCTGTTAAATGGTTTTGGTGAGGGACTCCAGCCATCCGTTAGATACCACTTTCAGGGTGCTTTGAAATCAGTAGATGGTTGTACTCAAACTAAAGGTGTAAGCTGGGCAGCTGCCTTTAAACTTGACAGGGCATTGTGTCCTAGAAGACTGTTCTCTGACTCAGGACATTTTCTTGCTTCTGATGGGGCATCTGATCATGATTTAATGAAAACAAACTCCCATCATGCCTCTGGTGAAGATGTGCTCTCCAAGAAAATGAGACCAACCCCTGTGAATCATAAAAAGCTGGTCGAAGAGTGTAACTCTCTGAGTGATGTGCTGGATGCGTTTTCAAAAGCACCTACATTTCCTAGTAGTAACTATTTCTTAGCAATGTGGACAATTGCCAAAAGGATATCTGAAGACAAGAGGCGCTTTGAAATACAACTAATGTTCAATCACCCCGCCTTTAGCCAGCTGTGTGAGCAAATGATGAGAGAAACCAAGATTATGCATTATGACCACCTTCTGTTCAGTCTGAATGCTATAATGAAGCTTGGAGTCCCTCAGAATACTCTGATTGTACAGACTGTGCTGAGGGTGATTCAGGTAAGTCAAAGGGAGACGTAAATGTGGCTTTACAGTGTTTTACATATTTTGAAGGAATTAGGGGAAGGAGATGTGTATAGCTTCCTTAAAAGAGACTATCAGTGCAATATATGTTTTTGGGCACATTTCTGTATTATATATTAGATGTCTAGGAGACCTGAAGTTAGATCATTTCTTCTGCATTGGAAATCTGTGAAAGCCTGCCCCACTTAACCTTCTCTAGGGTTAAGTGGGAATGAAGAAGCTAAAATGAAGAGAGGTGCAAGATGTACAAAGAAAGGTTGGGTAGTTGAAGGAAAAAGGGATAGGAAAGGAGGTGAACTAGTATTTTCCTCACATAATCTGAATCCTCTCACTAGCTCTTGTAGGCTAGGAAACATGCTCAATGATGTCAAGTTTGGATTTTCAGTTTCAAACAAGGTGTCAGTGTCTTGCTTGATGTCACTTACATGGTACTAGATGTGAAGAAGTAATTATTTACTTTTTAATAATGGCTATGTCAGACTCCTAAACTAACATAAATGATTATTTATGTTAAAATACATTAATTCCATAGAGATAATGTATCACATACTGTTTCACTGGAATTAATGAATTGAGTTTATAGGTATATGAGTTTTTAATTATTTATGTAAGCTTGATTTGTATGTTTTGAAGAACTATTTTGTGGTTTTGTTTGGTGGGCACTGTATTCATTTCTTATGTGGTCATTTAAAATGGTGGTTATGATTCACTTTCACTGACAGTGATGCAGTTGACACATTCACAGCTGTGTGGCCTCTCACTGGTAACATAGCATAGTTGAAGTCAAAAAGTCTGCATGTAATTGTACCTCTGTAATGTGTGTGGGTGTCATAAAGACATTTAGCCAGAGGTGAAAGAACAGTGTGCTGTCAGTGCATTTGAGTCAAGTAGTCTGGCCGTTCACAGCAGAAGTTATGGGGTGCATACATTATCGAGGAAACTCTCATGAGAATAAAACCATCCTTTCCCCACTTCCAAGGGTCTCCACTTTAAACTATCTACCAGTTCTGACTCGGAGGCTTAGAAGTCATGATTAGTTGTACCACTTTAGCAAGGAGCAAAAGGCTTCATTAAATTTGGTCCTGCTCTTAGATGAGTTGAGGTTGACATGCTAGAGCACTGTTCTCTTTCCAGGTCACCCTGCCACACCCTGAGACCCAGATTATGGTGGGAAAATGCTGGGGACCATGCCAGTAAGAAGATTCACAGGGCATTTACAGCATGGTACTCAAGAAAGGCTATGTGGAAAGTGTGAGGAACAGTCTTCAAGGTCTCTTAGGGGAGCTTGACCTATATACTTTAGTAGCTCTTTTGTTATCCTACTATGCTGTCCCCATGGTGGTTTCCAGCCCATGAAGGGGTAAAAATGATGTTTAATGCAAGTTATTTCACAAGCAAAGGGATATAATCAATATCAAATGGATTTTTCAATGATGCATACAATGATGCATTTAATGATGGCATCACATCTTTTTCTTGAATATGTGAGTATGGTGAATTCCTGGTCTGGTACTTAGTCCTTTGAAAGTATGAGTTCAGAGGTTTTGCTTGGGAAAGCTAGTACATATCTCTTCACCTTTGGTATATTTGCAATTATATTTTAATAGGAACGCATCAATGAGTGTGATGAGAGATGTCTTTCAATAATGTCAACTGTTTTAGAGACACTGGAACCATGTGCCAATGTGAATGTGCTTCGAACAGGGCTGCGGTAAGAGCCTCCTAGGTTTCTTCAAATGGTTTTCTCTGTGACCCTTATATGGGGAATTAAAAATCCCGATGAAAATTGAATTCCTTTTTGGGAGGCACTGGTAAGATAGGCATTAGTGGTAGTTAATACTTTATTAAACTTAAAATTCTAATTCTGAATGATATAAAGCTGAGGGTAGTACTTTTTAAAGGATCTATTTATAAAAAGATGTGGGTAAAACTGAAATTATTTGTCTTAGACTCTAGTACTGATGTAAAGTTGGGGGAGAACTGATTTGTGTACTCAATTCAGAGTAGTTACTTGCGCACTGTAGGGATTACATTATACTGGCTTATATTAAAAAGGTATAAAGTTGATACAAAAGATCTGTCACAGATTAGGGAAGGTTATGATGCAATTTGTTCATTAATAAAGACAGTACAGTAGTGTAAGAGGAATAATTTAGATCCTTCTCTAAGTGCTTACACCAGTTTGGTCAGGTAGACCACATCTGTGGATTTCATATCTCTGGCCTATTCCAGTAGGAGCTGGACCAAATGAGGTTTTCAGATTTCTGGCTTGGACTCTAGGATTATCCTATTTTTTGTGTCTAATGACAGAATCCTAGTTGATCAGCAAGTTTGGAAGATAGAACATATCTTCACATTACAAACAGTGATGAAATGTATCGGGAAAGACACACCAGTTGCTCTTAAGAAGAAATTGGAGGTAAACACCTAGCTTTTCTCTAGTGGATGAAATTTGAAGAAAAGTTGTTTTTTGACTAGTCACTTTCTAAAGTTAGTTTTGAAGGGAGATGTGGCTGTGCTTTTGGGCTTAGCTTTGCTGAAATGAATTAAGACATCTATGTATGTACAAACGTACCTGAATATATATTTTCTTCTGTATTTGTCACCTTTCTTCAGCTTCAGCCTGTTTCTGCAGCATTAAATTTCCCATGGATGATAATTAAATGCAAGTTTGTTTTTCTGTAGATGAAAGCCTTGAAGGAGTTAGACAGATTTTCTGTCTTGAATAGCCAGCACATGTTTGAAGTACTAGCTGCCATGGATCACCGCTCTGTTGTCCTTCTGAATGAATGCAGTAAGGTGGTCATAGGTAAGGGGGCTTTTCCTATATGTTTGCCACATCTGCCACATCAGGCTTTCTGTATATGATCTGCCACATCTGACCTATTACTTGTTTTGAAATCTTGGTTCATATGATGCAGAACTGATGATTGGTTACATGTACATTTTATTTTTGGCTGTAGTTTTGTTTTCCTTCAAAATACAGTGTTATTTTTTTCCCAAAGAAGGTATTGAGTATCTTGAATCTTATGTTCAAAACCATCTGCTAATTCTTGTGATTTTAACTCATTCTTAAAGATAATATCCATGGTTGTCCTCATAAATTATTGATCAGCATTCTGCAGTCCTGTAGAGACCTCCGATACCAAAATGAACATCTCTTCAAGAGCATAGCAGACTATGTGGCTACAACTTTTGAAATTTGGAAGTTGAAACAGGTGAGTCTCAATTGGGAATGTTCCAGAGAAACTTTCAGGAAGGTTGTTCAATTATATCTTTAAAATGTTTCTCTCTGTTTAGAGAGGCCATGATGTCAGAATATTCCAGTGCTAAATTGGCTTAGTTCCTCTCCTTCTACAGGCTATGCATTGATGTGGGTCCTATTTTCTTGTTAGCTTTGCATAATAGAAATGGGTCTAACTAATAATATGTGCAAGCTTATGGTTTTTGAAGAGTGAAATGTTACTACTTTATGATTTTGTCTGTTTTTTCACAGCCTCAGGACTGTGTTTATCAATTCGTCACAATGAAGCAGCATGTGAATCTTGCTTTTGGTGAAGTAGGTAGAGGCTGAGGTAGATTGTGGGATTACTTGGTTAAGGGAGTCAGATGAATTTTGGATTTATTATGAAATTGAATTCAAAGACAATAATTCTTGTGGTAAATATCACCCAGCAGGAAACTGGAAGGGAAATTTATCTTAATTGTAATATTTTACTTCAATAAATTAATATAAGATACAGACATGTTTGTTTTACAAAAATAAATTTTATTTGAAAATGCTATAATGAAATGGAATACTGTATATACTAATTTTTAAAAAAATTGAAAAAGACAAGGAAAGATAGGAAAAATACTTGCACCACATTAAGGTTCAGCTAATCTAGTTGGGCACGGTGGCACACTCTTGTGATCCCACCCAGCTTCTCAGGATGCTGAGGCTGGAATATTGCAAGCTCAAGCCAGCCTATGGGTTAAAAAAAAGAAAAAGAAAACAACGTTTGAGTTATTATATATATGAAAATCTAGGCAGTGTTTAGAAGTAGAGCAGTTCAAGATATCGATGGTCATCTCAAAACCTTCAGAAAAGGCACAATTAAAAGTAACTTTCAGATCTGTCATATGAAAGATGGGTAAAAAAAAAAAAGGGTTTTTTTGTTTTTTTTGTTTTTGTTTTTATTTATTTTGTTTTGTTTTGTTTTTTGAGATAGAGTGTCTCTGTGTAGCCTTTGCTGTTCTGGAACTCACTCTGTAGACTAGGCTGGCCTCAAAGTCAGATCTGCCCACCTCTAACTCCCAATTGCTGGGATTAAAGGTGTGTACCACCACCACCCAGCTAAGAAGGATTTTAATTGAAGTGTGGAAATCATTCTATGTCTTGGTTTTCAGCTTAGAAAGAGATTACTTGTTAAGTCAATATCTGATTAAATAATGAAAAGAAAGTATAATTACTCCTTTTGGGGTAGTGTGTTGTTATTTTTAAGTTCTTTGAGATTTAAAAACTTATAGTTGTGTGTTGTAGCTGTTGAATAACTTTCCCTCCCTTCTTTTTTTAAGGTTATCTTTTTCCTCATGTTGTTTGAAAACCTTGGTTTTCGACCTCCTAGTTTGATGAACAAGCTTATGGAGAAAGTAGTGGAGGATCCTGTCTCTCTAAACCTCAGGAATGTTGTTTCTATCCTTCATGTGTATTCTTCTCTCAATCATACGCAAAAAGACCAGAACAGACAGTACGTACCGTTTTCATCTACCTACATTGTCTTGTGGTGTGTTTACAGAAACTATTGCAGACCTCGGGCTTGCCACATTAGTAAACATGACTGTTCACAGCCACCACCGTGTCTAGAAGTACAGAGTTGAATAGAGTCTTATGTTCATGGTTCTTTGCTCTGGTTGTTCATTCATTATAGGAGTTTTCATTTTGACCTTGTCCACTTTTCTCTATTATCTCCTAAATTAATTGTCCTTTTTAACTTTGTTAAATAGTTGAGAAGTGTCTCTTCAAAATTCACTGTTGTTGTAAGGGGTTCTGATGAGGGAGGAGCTCTCCTGGCCCCTTTCAAGTGGACGATGCAGTGTTGCTGACTGTAGGCATAGCACAGCTGTCTGGAGCTGCATCCTCCTCCATGTTTGAACCATCCCTGCTGAACAGCACCCTTCTTGTTCCCTAACCCTTCCTTCTCACCTTTATTCTACTGTTTCTGAATTTGGAATATGTGCCATGTGTCCATCTAGACAAGCTTACTCACTTAAACACAGTGTCCACCAAGTTCATCTGTATCATCATACGGAAGGGGTTTTCTCCTTTCAAAGAACCCCAGTTGTATATTTATAGCATGTTGTATTTACCAGTCTCTTGGTGGACATTTAGGTTGTTGGCATATGTTGACTTTTGTGTTGAACATAAGAGTGTACATATCCAGTTGAGATGTAAGTCAAAATGTACTTGGAAAATTTGCTGTGGTAGCCATGCCTGTAATCCTTCCTCTTGGGAAGTTGGCAGGACGATTGCTGTGCAATAGAGGCAAACTTAGGCTACAGAATAAAACTCTTGTTTCAAAAACCAAAAACAAAAACGAGAGAGGAGAGAGAGGGAGAGAGAGAGGGAGAGACAGAGAGATCCCTGAATGTGAGAACAAGAGACCATATGGTAGCCCTCTTATTTTTTTGTCTTTAGGTTTTTATTTTTTGAGGAATCCTTACCAATTTATTTAGTTTTCTCCCAGTAGTGTGTATAGTGTGGAAGGGCTATACCCCTAACAGTGTGTACCACTTGGTATGCAAGAGCTGTTCTTCCAACAGTGAGCACAGTGTGGTATGCAAAGGCTGTTGCCCCAATGTTGAACACAGTGTGGTGTGGAAGGGCTCTTCTCTCAATATTGAGCACAGTGTGACGTGCATGGGTTGCTCCCCTGACAATGTGCATAGTGTGGAGTGGACTGGCTCTGATTGCTCCTTGTCTTCTTTTCTTGTCTCTGTAGCCATCCTAACAGGTATAAGGGCACATCTTTTCATAGTTTGGGTTTGCATTTCCTGACTGTTAGTTGTGCTGAGCATCCTTCTATATAGCTGTACTGTGTGTCTATTCTGGAGCTACATGTGTCATATTCTTTATTTTCTGATCATGTCTTTATGCTATTAAATTGTAGGCATTGCTTCTATATTTTAAATGATAATCCCCTGGTGGGTATGCAGTTTGCAAGTATTTTCTACCCTTCTTTGATTCTGTGGACTGATTTGTTTGCTTAGCAGAAGAATTTTAGCTTGCTGTTATCCTCTTGACTATTTCTGCTTTTGTTGATTGTACTTTTTATATGATAATCTAAAAGTCATTGTTGTACATAATGTCATAAAATACAGCTTTCTTTTATATTTTTCCTTATAGGTGTTCAGGTCTTATGCTTACTCTTTTTAAGTTGATTTTTGTATAAAGTGTAAGATAAGTTTAATTTCATTCTTTTTATGCACATACCCAGTTTTCCCTGCACTGTTGAAGAGACTGCCCTTTCTCCATTGTATGTTCTTAATGCCTCGTTTGCTTTTCTGCAGAACTGCTTTGTCTTGGTAATGTGTTCTGAATTAGAAAGGTGCTGTAGTTCCTGCATAGTTCTTTCTTCCTGAGATTTCTAAGGAATTCACGCAACTTGGTTTCCATATGAATTTCAGGATAGTTTTTTTTTTGTTTGTTGTATAAAAATTTCTCTTGAGAGTTTATTTATTTTAGCTTAAGCTAGAATTTCTAGTACTATATTAAATAGAAGTGGGCAGGAGGAAGCATTATTGCCTTATTTCTGAGTTTTTCACCATTTAATATGCTGCTGACTATATGGGCTTTTCACATACGGCTTTATTATATTGAAGTGCATCCTTTCCATACCAAATATATTGGGAAGTTTTTGTCACTAAAGGATGTTGAGTTTCTCAAATGCATTTCTTTATGTATTAATGGAATGGTGTGGTTTTTCTTTTAACCCTTCTGTTAATGTAGCTTATAACATTTATTGGTTGCATGTGCTGAGCCACCTGGGTCTTGTTTGTGGTATTATCTATGATCCTTTTCATGATATTAAATTTGGTTTGCTACTGTTTTTTTTTGTTCCTAGCTTTGCCTGGCTTTGGTTGGTCTTGTGAGTTTAGATATTTTCTCTCTTCTATAGATATTTGGATGAGTTTGAGGGTTATGTTCACTTAATTATTATTCTTCTCAACATTTGGTGAAATTCATGAGCTGCTTTGGTCCTGGACCTTTTCATTGTTGAGAGGGTTATTTTGTTTGTTTTTCAATTATGTATGTGAATGTTGCCTGCATGTATGTATGAGCACTACTAAAACACCTCTCCAGATTTGTTTTGTGACAATTTCGTAGCTGATTCAATCTCTTCATTCACTGTTGGTCTATTTTGGTTTTCTTTTTCTTCATGGTTTAGTCTTTGTTGATTGTATATGAATTTGTTTCTCCTTAGCTACCAATTTGTTAGCAAACTTTTTTTCATAATTTTTTATTAGACCCTTTTTATTGTTGTGTGTGTCAAGGAAAAGAGTCTGAGCATATACAACCTTTATTGTCATTTTTTCTGTGAAAGACAGTATCACAGCTAACTATGTAGAATTTGTACTGCATTAGATATTATAAATAATTGAAAGATGATTTAGCATATACAGGATGATGTGCAGAGGTTGCATGCACCTTTTTCTTTTTTTTTTTTTTTTTTTTTTTTTTTAACTTGAGCTCACTATGTAGCCCATGTTGGCCTTGAAGTTTTGATCCTCCTACCTCTGTCAAGGATTATAGGTGTGCCCCGCCATGCCCAGTTTGTGGTACTGGGTTAAACATTGTACCAACTAAGTGACATCTCCAGCCCCCTTTGTCACCTCTGTGGAGTTAGTGGCATTACTCTCATTTCTGCTTTTCAGATTACTATCTTTTCCACACTAGTTTATGGGTTTGCCACTTTGCTTGATTCTTCCCTCTTGTTCGTATTTGTTTCTGTTTAAATCTTTGTTGCTTTCTTCATCTACTAACTGTGGGTCTGGTTTACTCTTTTTCTAGTTTCTTTTCTTTTAAAAACTTATTTACTTTCACTTTATGCGTATGGGTATTTTGTCTGTACGTATGTGTGTGTAATACATGTATGACTGGTACCTCTGGAGGCCAGAAAAAGAAGGTGGATCCTGAAACTGGAGTTACAGATAGCTATTAGCTGCCATGTGGGTGCTGAGAATGGAACTAAAGCCCTCTGCAAGAGCAGTCAGTGTTTGGAGCTGCTGAGCCATCTTCCAGCCTGTTTTTGGTAGGCTGGAATTCATTACCAAGAATTTGGTAGCCAAGAATTTTTAATTGCTTATAAAACTACAGTGATCGTTCAGGCCTTGTGGAAATTGTAGAGTAAAAGGCTCTGGTGCCAGAGCATTTAGGTTTTAATAGTCTCTGCATTGGCTGCCCATCCACTGTTATTAGTTCATGGATGAATTACTCAACTTCTGAGCCTACTCATTCATCCTTATTTATGAGAATAATACTGCTACCCCATAGAGTTTTAATAGGAGTGAAATGATTGAAAGCCTATAAAAACAATTGTATGCAGTACCACCACAGTAGTCATTTTATTGGATATGTATACTTACCATGGGATGTCCTGCACTGTATATGGATGCTCATTTACAAGTCTGATTGTTTCATCTCATTCTTTGCATTCCTTGGTCCTATAACATGGAACTAGCTCTTCTGTTCCCTTGTCTTGTGAATTAATTTGAAATCTGACTTTCCTTTTTTCCAAAGGTTCCTAGAAGCAATGGCAAATGCTCTGACTGTTCATCTTCACCACATCTCTTCCGAAAACCTATTGAGTGTTGTGTATTCATTCTGCGTGCTGAATTATTTCCCCCTGGCCCTCATTAACCAGCTTATAAAAAAGAATATCATCAACGAACTGCTGACTTCAGGTAGTATGTCACCTTGTCATTCAGAGTGGGAGTTTTAGAGCATCATTAGTTCAGATATGCAGAGCAAATGTTGCTGCGTACAACTGATAAAGGTAGTTAAAGGACCATGTTTCAAACTACAAGCCCACAGAGCCACCTTTAGTACATACCACTGTGGGAGGAAGAAATAATGTCTGCACAGTTGTTACTCTTTTAGCCTGCACTGCACGCAAAGTGTTTGTTTACTGTCTGCACATACTCAAAGCTCAGTGTTCTTTTTTATTAATATATTTTTTATTTCTTTTATATACCAGCCACAGTTCACTCTCCTTCCTCTCTTCCTGTTCCCTCTCATGTCCTGTCTGCTCCCCGCCCCCCCAATCTACTTCTCCTTTCAGAAAAGGGCAGGCCTCTCAGAGGAGTCAACAAAACATGTCATATCACATTGAGGCAGAACCAAGCTTCTCCCCCTGCATTAAGGCTGGGCAAGGCATCTTTGCATGGGGAATAGGTTCCAGAAAGCCAGCTCATGCAACAAAGACCGGTACTGATCTCACTGCTAGGGACCCCACAAACCGATCGAGCTACACAACTGTCATCCACATGTAGAGGGTCTAAGTCAGTCCCATGCCAGCTCCTTAACTGTCTGTCTAGAGTCAGTGAGCTCCCACAAGCTCAGATCAGCTGTCTCTTGACCTTCATGATCTTGACCCCTCCACCCCTTGCTCGTACAATCCCTCCTTTCTCTCTTCAACTGAACTCCCAGATATTGGCCCAGTGCTTGGCTGTGGATCTCGTATCTGCTTCCATCAGGTACTGGATGGAGGCTCTGTGATGATAATTACAGTAGTCACCCATCTGATTATAGGAGAAGGCCAGTTCAGGTACCCTTTCCACTATTGCTAGGACTCTTCAGTGGGGTCATCCTTGTGCATTCCTCGGAGTTTCCCTGGCACCAGGTTTCTCCCCAACACTAAAATGGCCCCCTCTATCAAAATATCTCTTTCATTATTCTTCTCCTTCATCCAGCCCCTAGCGCGACCAACCTGATCCCTCATGTTCCCATCCTCCCACCCCCCATTTGCCTCCAGTTTACCCAGGAGTTCTCATCTATTTCTCCTTGCCATGGAAATCCATGCATCCCTCTTTGTTACCTAGCTTCTCTGGGGCTGTGGATTGTAGTCTAGTTATTATTTGCCTTACATTTAATATGCACTTATGAGTGAGTGCATACCATGTTTATCTTTCTGGGTCTGGGTTACCTCACTCAGGATGATTTTTTTTTTTCCCCTAGTTCCATTTGCCTACAAATTTCATGATGTCTTTTTTTTTCTTCCCCCCCCCCCACTGAATAATACTCCATTGTGTAAATGTCCCATATTTTCTTTATCCATTTTTTGGTTGAGAATCATCTAGGTTGTTTCCAGGTTTTGGCTATTACAAATAATGCTGCTATCAACAGAGCTGAACAAGGGTCCTTATGGTATGATTGCGCATTCTTTGGGTATATGATCAAGATTGGTATAGCTGGGTTTTGAGGTAGATAGATTCCTAATTTTCTGAGAAACTGCTACACTGATTTCCAAAGTTGCTGTACAAGTTTGCACTCTCACTAGCAGTGGAGGAGTGCTGCCTTTACTCCACATCCTCTTCAACTAGGCTGTTCTTAGTGTTTTTTATTTTAGTCATTCTATGACTAAAATATAAGATGGTATCTTAGAGTTGTTTTGATTTGAGTTTCCCTTATGACTAAGGATGTTGAACTATTCTTTTAAGTGTTTCCCTGCCATTTGAGATTTTTCTGTTGAGAATTCTGTTTAAATTTGTACTCCATTTTAAAATTGGATTATTTAGTATTTTGATGTCTAGTTTCTTGAGTCCTTTATATATTTGGAGATCTGTTATATGGAAGATTGGTGAATGTCTTTTCCCATTCCCAATAAGACATTTTGTCTTATTGACCTTGTCCTTTGCCTTATAGAAACTTTTCAGGTTCAGGAGGTCTCAATTATTAATTGTCGGTCTCGTGTTGGTGCTACTGGTGTTATTTCCAGGAAGTTGTCTTCTGTGCCAGTGCTTTCAAGGCTACTTCCCACTCTCTTTTCTATCAGGTTCAGTGTAACTGAAATTATGTTGAGGTCTTTGATCCACTAGGATTTGAGTTTTGTACAGGGTTATAGATAAGGATTTATTTCTATTCTTCTATGTGCCACCATCTAGTTAATGCCAGCACCATTTGTTGAAGATGTTTTCTATTTTCCATTGTATAATTTTGGCTTCTTTGTCAAAAATCAGGTATTCATAAGTATGTGGATTTGTGCCAGGGTCTTCAATTTGATTCCTGTCTATTTTTGTGCCAATACCATGCTGTTTTTATCATAGCTATATAGTAGTGTGTGAAGTCAGGGATGGTGATACCTCTGAAAGTTCCTTTATTGTATAGCATTGTTTTGGCTATCCTGGGTTTTTTGTTTTTCCATGTTTTCCCAAGTCTGTGAAGAACTGTGTTGGAATTTTGATGAGTGTTGCATTGAATCTGTAAATTGCTTTTGGTAAGATTGCCATTCTTACTGTGTTAATCCTACCAATCCATGGGTATGGGAGATCTCTACATTTTCTGATATATTCTTCAGTTTCTTTCTTCAAAGACTTAAAGTTCTTGTCATACAGGTCTTTCACTTGTTTGGCTAGAGCTACCTCAAGATATTTTTATATTTATTTGTGGCTATTTTAAAAGGTATTGTTTCTCCAATTTCTTTCTCAGTTCATTTATCATTTGTATATAGGAGGGCTACTGATTATTTTGAGTTAATCTTGTATCCAGTCATGTTACTGACACTTGTTTATCAGCTGTAAGACTTCCCCATGGTAGAATTTTTTATATCACTGATGTATAATATATCATCTGCAAATAGCAAAACTTTAACTTCTTCCTTTTCTGTTTGTATTCTCTTGATCTACTTTGTTGCCTTATTGTTGTAGCTAGAACTTCAAGTACTATATTAAATAGATATGGAAAGAGTGGACATCCTTGTGTTATTCCTAATTTTAGTGGACTTGCTTTGAGTTTTTCTCCATTTGATTTGATATTGGCTGTTGCCATGCTGTATATTGCTTTTATTATGTTTAGGTATGTTCCTTTTATCACTGATCTCTCTAGAACCTTTATCATGAAGGGGTGTTGGATTTTGTCAAAGGCTTTTCTAGTATCTAGTGAGATGATCATGTGCTTTTTTTTTCTTTCAGTTTGTTTATATGGTGGATTACATTTACAAATTTTTGTATGTTGAATCATCTCTGCATTTCTAGGATGAAGTCTACTGTCACAGAGGATGATTTTTCTGATGCATTCTTGGATTCGGTTTGCCAGTATTTTGTTGAGTATTTTTGTATCATTGTTCATGAGGGAGATTGGTCTGTAATTCTTTTTCTTGGATGCATCTTTGTGTGGTTTGGGTATCAGGGTAACTGTAGCCTTGTTGAAAGAATATGGCAATGTTCCTTCTGTTTCTATTGTTTGGAACAATTTGAGGAGTTTTGGTATTAGCTCTTCTTAGAAATTCTGGTAGAATTCTGCACCGAAACCATCTGGCCATGGGCTTTTTTTGGAAGACTTTTAATGACTTTAGGGGTTATAGGTCTGTTTATATGGTTTATCTGGTCTTGATTTAATTTTGGTATGTGGTACCTATCAAGAAAATTGTTTGTTTATTTTAGATTTTCCAAGTTTGTAGAGTACGAGTTTTTAAAATATGGCCTAATGATTCTCTGGATTTCCTCAGTGTCTATTGTTATATCTCCCTTTTAATTTCTGATGTTTGTTAATTTGGATATTCTCTCTCTGACATTTGGTTAGTTTGGATAAGGCTTTACCTGTCCTATTTGATTGATTGAGTGAGTGATTAATTGATTTTTGCAAAGAACCAACTTTTTGTGTTATCGATTCTTTGTACTGTTCTCTTTGTTTCTAATTTATTTATTGATTTCAGCCTAGAGTCTGAGTATTTTCTGTCTTCTATTCCTCCTTGGTGAGTTTGCTTCTTTTTGTTCTAGAGCTTCCAGGTGTGCTGTTAAATCGCTAGTGTGAGATTTCTCTAAATTCTTCATGTGGGCACTTAGTGCTATGAACTTTCCTTTTAGTACTGCTTCAAAGTATCCCTTAAGGTTGGGTATGTTGTAGATTCATTTTCATTGAATTCTAAAAAGTCTTTAATTTCTTTCTCTATTTCTTCCTTGACCCAGTGGCAATTCACTTGACAGTTGTTCAGTTTCTATGAGTTTGTAGGCTTTCTGTAGTTTATGTTGTTGTTGAACTCTAACTGTAACCCGTGGTGATCTGATAAGATACAAGAGGTATTCCAGTTTTTTTTTTGTTTTAGTTTGGTTTTTTGTATTTGTTGAAATTTGTTTTATGACTGAGTATATGGTCAATTTTAGAGAAGGTTCCATGAGGTGCTGAGGAGAAGGTATATTCTTTTGTGTTTTGGTGAAATGTTCTATAGATGTCTTTTAAGCCCATTCAAGCCATAACATTTGCTAGCTTTCTCATTTCTCTGTTAAATTTCTGTCTAGCAGACCTGTCCATTGGTGAGAGTAGGGTGTTGAAGTCTCCCACAATTAGTGTGTGGGGTTTTCCTTTTTTAAATATATATTTATTATTTTTCCTTATTTTACATATTGATTCCAGTTCCCTCTCCCTCCCGTGCCCCTCTCTCCCACCCCCCACTGCACAGGGAGGGTGATACCTTCCAGGAGGGATCATCAAAATTTGTCAAGTCATTTGGAGTAAGGTCTGGGCCCTCCCTCCTGCCTGTAGGCTAAGGGAGTATCCCTCCATGGGAAATGTGCTCCCAAAGTCCTTTTGTGCACCAGGGATACATCCTGGCTCCACTGGCAGAGGTCCCTTAGGCTGCTCAGGCCTTCTAACTGAGACCCATGTTCAGGGGGTCTGAGGTCGGTCCAGTGCTCAGCTTTTTTGGTGTTCTGTAAGTCCCTTATACCTTCATGTCCTTCATAGGCATGTCCTTCTTTAGGTTGGGAAAGTCTTTTTCTATGATTTTGTTGAGTATGTTTCCTGTCCTTTGAGCTGGGATTCTCCTTCTTCTCTCCCTATTTTTCTTAGGTTTGGTCTTTTCATGGTGTCCCAGACATCCCGGATGTTTTTTGTATTAGGATTTTATTGGATTGAACTTTTTATTTGACTAATGAATCTATGTCCTCTATTGTGTCTTCAACACCTGAGATTCTCTTTTCCATCTCACGTATTCTATTGGTGTTTGCATCTGTAATTCCTGTTCGCTCACCTAGATTTTCCATTTCCAGAATTCTCCTGGTTTGTGTTTTATTGTTTGTATTTCAGTTTTCAAGTCTTGAACCATTTCTTTCACTTATTTGTTTGTTCTTTTCTTTCTTTAAGGGACTTATTGATTCTTGCATGCTTTTGTTTGCCCTTTTCTCAATTTTTTTTTTAAAGGGATTTTTAAATTTCTTCTTTAAGGGCCTCTGTCATCTTCATAAAGTTATCTTGGGGTCATTATCTTATGTTTCAGCTGCAGTGGAACGCTTAGGTCTTGTAGGATCACTGGGTTCTGGTGGTGCCATATTGGTCTTTTGGTTGCTGAATGTTCTTACACTGGCATTTACTTGTCTGTTCTTCTAACTGGTGTGGGTCATGCTTGTGTCTATGTAGTCTGTTCTTTCAACTGGTTAGGGCTGTACCTATGCCGGTTGTTCAAACTGGTGTTGTTTGTACCTGTGCCTATGGAGCCTCCTGGGGTTTTGGGGAGGGCTGGCTATAGGAAGGATGTTCAGGTGCTTGGGGTTGGGTGGCGGAATGGGTCTTGGAAGGACAGAGTCCAGAGGGTGGTGCAGTCTGGAGGCAGGTCTGTTATCTGCTTACAGGCAGTTTTCTTGATCAGAAGTGTCTGCATTCCTTTTCTTAAGTATACCATTAAATATACCAACCCAAGTAACCAAGAAAAATCATTCCTGGTCTGTAGTGAGATGACTGTAACATCTAGTGACCCATAGGAACCAGATTAGTGAATTCATTTATTCTTGAAACCAAATAAATCGGTTTTTTTTTTTTTTTTTTAAGTAGCCCCAGGGTGGCCTGGAAATCACAGATAGTGACCTGCCTCTGCCTCTCTAGGGTGGAATTCCTAAGTGCTGGGATTAAAGGTGTGTGGGACCATGCCATACAGTTATTGACTTTAAGTGAAGAAAAGCAATATTTGGGTAGGTGTACAAAAGTTAATGTGTCTTAAAATAAAGTAGCTGTAATTAATTTTATATATATACAGTGCTATAAAATCCTGGGATTGTGAAAAGTCAACCCTATAAGCTGATTTAAAAAAAAAAAAAAAAGTTTATTGTTGAAGAATAGATTTGGAGGCCTGGATTGTAGTCCCAACTTCTTAGGCAGCTTTTCTCCTATAAAATGGGGTTAGAACAAGTCACTTCTAAAGATAGCTTTAGTTTGAAACATTGGCAAATACAGTCACTGATCTAGACATGGAAAACCAGGGAATCAGTGCGCCCTCAGGCTCAGAGAGCTACATAGAAGAGGGGCAGGAAGACTCCAGGGAAGCAAGTGTTCCAGACTTAGTGGGACTGATACACACATGGGCTCCCAGAGACTGCAGTGCACACACACGTTCACACCAGAGGGGTCCCAGCACTGAGACGGGGAAGAGGACATGAGTACCCAGAAGCTATCTAAAATTGATACCACTTGCAAATAAAAATTCGTTTTCTCCAATGGAGTCTCAGTGGGTTACCTCACCTTATGCCTAACAGTAGATGGCCATACAAAATTAAATTAACTCCATGTCATTTTTGTATTTTGTTTTGTCTTATATTACTTTGTCTGGACTCTTTTTTTTTTTTTAATCTTTTAGTCTTTGCTTGTGTATTATGGTTTCTGATTTTGTGTTTTTAATGTTTGTTTGTGTGTTTCTTTTCTTTTTTATAATTCTGGTTTTTTGTAGTTTATTGTTTGTTTGCATGTTTGTTTCCTAGAGAGAGAGAGGGTATGGTGTTGGGTATATGGGGCAGACCTGGGAGAAGTTGAAAGAGGAAACCATGATCAGACTATATTTTATGAAAAAAAATGTTTTTCCAGTAAACAAAATAGAACAAAGTGGAGATGGGAAGGGAGGATAAGTGAAAGTAATGTATGGTGAAATGTGTGTGTGTGTGTGTGTGTGTGTGTGTGTGTGTGTGCATGCACACGTGCGCGTGCATGTAAATAAATTTTGTACAGTGAATTCATATACACTAAGTAAAAAAAGATTTTAAGAGGTAACTAGAAATGTAGATACATTAGTATTTTAAAATATGGCAGTAATGTTTTAATCATGTGTTTGCTTTTGTATTTTTAGGTAACACAGAGAAGAATATTCATAAGCTTCATGTTTTGAATACTTGTCTGAAACTTGACAAAAGCGCTCATTACAAAGCTGTTCACATACCGTTGCCACAGCTGCCACCGCCACTGTCACATCCCAGTGACAAGGTTGCAGAGGCACTCAGCCACCTCCTGGAAGGTGAAGGGTGCTTCTCAAGAAATGTGCAGTTGCCACACAATTATCACATTGGTATGGGTTTCCCTTTACTTTGTTTTAATTTTAAAATTTATTTTCTATTTGTCTTGACAAAGTATTAGGAAGTTTTACATGTAAAATCCCTAGATTAGTATCTGCCACATTATAAGTTCTTAGTTCTAACTACTGTTATTGTCCTCTCAGGTACTGTTGGCATTAGACTTTTGATATATAGAAATCACTTTGAGCAGTGTTTAAGAAGTTAATATCAATATTTTTTAAATTTCAGATTTTGAAATCAGAATGGATAATAAAAGGACCCAAGTATTTTCATTTTCTGATGTAGATGCAACTTCTGGCACAAACATACAGAGGTAATTTATGTATGCTCAATTGCTGGGCATTGTGATTTAAAATTTTAATATTTAATAGCAGTATCAAAAAGACCTTATGAATGTATATAGCTTGCAGTATACCAGGGTCTTCACACATGGGAATCTGCACATGTGGCTAAATACAACAGACTGGTGTTGCAATGTTCTTTAAAAATTAGTATATAAAGATAATAGTTCTGTAAGACAATGTTAACATAACTTAGACTATCAGTGCAGTATAAACTTCAGCTAAGATAATACAGTAACCATATACTTGAGTCATCTACAGAAATTAACTACCCAACGTATAATTAGTATTATTTGTGGATCTGAACACGTTGAAGCTAATCCAAGTCATCCTTGATTATGTATAGCGTGCTTCTAGGAGAAACATATCATACCATGAAAGAATATCCTGCCTGTTCAATAAAGGCATAAGATCATGGATTGATTCCACACACCTCTCTGTTATGTCAGCCTTTGTGGAAAGGTTCTGCCAGGCACGCAGGGTACACAGAAATGAGCCAGATGTGTTCTCTTGTCCCAGGGATCGTATGGCCTACTATCCTGGACAGGCACATACATACAGTGGACAGGAGCAGGAACAACCTGAAGAATTACCTGCTCATCCTCATCTTTGTACACAGTGTTATCCTCATCCATTCATGTAGTGTTCTGTGTCTTCCCCTTTCTGCATCCATCTGGCTTGTTCCTTGGTTATCATTTAAGTGATATCCTACCCAGGTGCCCTTAAGAAAGCCTTCCCTTAGCCCTTTGAAATCTTGTTCCCGCCTCTTAATCTACGGAGATGCAAAAGTTGAGTAGTCTCTGGAAGCTGGCAATCAGGAGAAGACAGAGGAGGTAGAAGTATCTTTTGTTCTTTGTTCTCCCAGTGATCTTCCAGAAAGCAGGGTGTGATGAAGTTCAGAGCCCAGCTTTCCACTGGAGGATCCTGTGTCTTAGGGTTCCTAGAGTTTGGAAGATCATGTAGCATTTGCTGTTGCCTTCACAGTAGCTTTACTGAATATTTGTATTCCAGTCAGGGCTTAACACTGCCCCAGAAACCCTTACAATGGGCGTTTTTATATCAGGAAGTTTTCCTCCTTAGAAAGTAAAGACATTCATAAAGAAGGCTGGCACATAGTTATGTAAAATGTTATATCAGATTTAGGTTTACAGTTGTACACTGTGTTGCCTGCAGAGGCTAAGTAACACAAGAAAAGGACAGAGTAGGGAAAGCTGGGAGTCCAATGGAGAGTCCAGCCTAAGCTACCAAGAGCAGGATGTTGCAAAATTCCAGGTGTTCACTCATCACTCTTCATGCTTGTTTTTTGTTTGTTTGTTTGTTTTGTTTTTGTTTGTTTGTTTTTTCTTTCCAGAGTAGCAGTGCTGTGTGTTCCTAAGTCTGCTTATTGTTTGAATTCAAACCACCCCAGAGGATTGTTGGCTATGAAAATTCGACATTTGAATACATTGGGTTTCTATGTGATCTTGGTAAGAAAAACAAAGTGAATGGACTATTTCCAGTGTTCACACTGTGCATTCTCCCAGCTCCCCAATACTGTGGTTAAGGTGGCCACTGGGCTCCAGGGGAGCAGTCAGCATGATGGGAATTCATATTTTAGCTGTGGTTCTCTGTCAGAGGGAATATTCTAGTACGTGATTTGCCTTCTACTCAGCTAGGTGTTGTTATCTAGTAGGGAGTTAAAGATGGTTCCTTGTCAGCCTTAATCTCTTTCTAATGAAGGAGAGGATAAATAATACCTTTACTGTTACCTCCAATTTTCAGATTATGATGTTAGGGTGTTGATTTTCTGGGTCAATGTAAGACTCTTACAGTGTGTGCTTATCTCCTGGAGAACTGGAGGAAGTGCCTTCTCTTAGGCTTCCCTTTGACCTTCAGCACCATGGCTTTTCTGGAACAGCCTTTTCAGGATTCCCTGAGTATAATATACAGGGCCTTATGATGATCTTGGCTTTATCTACCTGCTGCTCATGTGGTCCCACATACAGTGTGAAGTGTATATGCTCAAATCCCCCATTGCTGTATTTTATTTTAATATCCAAAAGGGGGCTGGGTTTGGCTTACTAAGCTTTGAGATAGCCCTTTGTGCTAATGTACCATTTAAAACTTTGGAAATAATTTTGCTCTTCTTAGAGAGACTTTGAGGTTCTATACTTTTCAGTGTTAATATTTTTCCTCAGTCCTAGACTTACTAGGTTTAGAATGTGAACATTTGTATGGGGACATTTAAGTTTTGAGAGCTTATTTGATACTACTTTGATGTGCTTAGATCTCTAAAGTAGCTTTTATTTTTTATATAATCATTTTCTCACAAACTTTTCTTTTTGGGGAAGATCAATACCTGGGAGCTGAGAAAACTAAGGATGGAGGATGCAGTAGCGTTTGTGAAGACGAAGATCTATTCAGATGAAGCTCTTCCCACCACTGATGCCACTGTGTAAAGCACAGATTAAAGCAACAGGAACCTCTTGACACTGAAGCACACACATTTGTGAAAATGACTTTAATAAAGGCTGTAATTCAGTTGTCAATGGATAAGTAGCAGCATTACTTCTGGTCAGATTAAAGGTGCCTTTAAGAGTGAAGATGTTTCAACACTGGTGTTTTAGAATACACTGAAAACCTTTCAGAAAAGTCCTTTGCCTCTCTGTCTGCACAGATGTGGGTATATCCAGGAGCTGTCTGTTTACCTTTTCTCATTACCATTGATGGGTTAAAACCTGGTTCCTTGGTTGTGTTGTGATAGCTCACATGTAAGTTGGTGTGGGGAGTTGTTTGATAAATGAGTATTTATACTTTTGCTGTCAGCTGTTGTAAGACTCAGGATTTGTACTTCAGATCATTCAAACAATGGCTAGATAGAATTTAGACTGGGTTTTCAAATAGTAGATCATGTAAGATTTAGTGAGACGGCATGTTAAACGTGGTTGAGGGGCCTGGGAATGGTTCCATGATTCTGGTGTTTGGTGTGCAAATGTAAGGATCTGAGTTTGGCTCCCTAATACCCATGTAAAAAGCTAGATGTAGTTATGAGGACCAGTAACCTTTGTGTGGGAGCCGGGTTGAAGACTAGCAGACCATATTAGATGGTGTGTCAAAGTACTGAGCAAGACATCCTGACCTTCACCATGGCTTCCACATCCATCTGCATAGGCAGTCATGCCCACATAGTTGGTCATATCCACAAATGCTCGAGGCAGATAAGAGTGGTATGCACATATGTAGCGAGCACTGCAAGTAGAGACATGTCCTGGGCTACAACAGGAGAAACATTTGAAGTAATCCATGTTTGTTAAAACAGATAAGCTGTCAGTTAACATAATGTTTGGATTATTATTTTATTTGTCCTTGCCTCTTTCACCATTGCATGAGATTTTTAAAATTAAGTACATAGCTAAATTGAATTAGGTATCGTTACTAATTTTAAATTCTGTCTTGTGTTCGTTATCCACTACCCTGGGATACAGTAGTGAATGTGTATGGTTGCTCATGTGACTGTAGCTTGGGTTCCATGCACATGGGGTTATTATTCTACTCCTACGTGCCTAAGATGACCAATTACTGGGCATCTTCCTATTTGTTTGGCATGGCTAAGTATTTGTTTTCTGTCTTCATCATCTTAAAAAGCACTTCGAAGTATAGCTGCTCATAGGATTCTCTGTGGGCTTTTCTGTCCTCTAGCATGTGGGGAAATTATTTGTCTAGTCTATAGAAAGCAAGGCAGGCTAGGGTTTGAATGTGAACTGACACATACTTATAGGAATTGTTGAGGATTCCCCCAGCTGACCAATTAACAAACCACAGTAACATGACAACAGCTGTCAGGTTTTATCAGCATGGCCAGATGCTTGATGAAAGGTCAGAGCTGAAGGGAAGTTTAGACATCTGTAAATGGACTGCCCTGCCCCCAGCATACACACACACACACACACACACACACACACACACACACACAGAGAGAGAGAGAGAGAGAGAGAGAGAGAGAGAGAGAGAGAGAGAGAGAGAGAGTAGATTGAAGTTACGGTGCTAGGAATTTCATTTTCCTGAGTCTTGATGATGCCATTGATTTCCACACCCTCTCATCAACTGCTCTGCAATTTGTGTCCCTGGAGGCCTGGTTTTTTATTCCATTTTGGCCATTGTCTAGTTTTGCATATTTAGCCAAGTGATATCACCTTTATAAGCTTCAGAGTGAGATGGAAGTACTATTATTAAGGAAACCAAGGGTCATTCTTTAAATGTTAAGTGTCCATCAGGTTCTTCTAGTGGCAAATGGTAATGCATATTACAAGGACTGGACAAATTCATTGATACTAACTCACTATTTGGAGCAGTAATTTTTCTGAGTTCAGCTGGCTGCTGTGCACATGCAGGCCATTCCTTCCTCCTTCACTAGTGTTCTTCATGGTCAATGCTGAGTCAGGCTGAGCATCATGAAATCATTTCAGGTGGCTCATGAAGCTGCTTCCGCCTCTGCCATCAGCAGGGTTGTATTTGTCTTTAAGAATTACAGTGCCGATGATGAAGACATAATGAGGCAAACACTTGGCATAGGCTACTGGCAGAATACAAATTAATGTAGTCTTTCTGGAATGTACTTTTATATGTAAAGAAAATGAGTACACTGGAGTATAAGTAGCTTATAGTAAGTGTGTTTATGTAAGGTGTAGTGTCATACTTAACACATGCAGACACACTTAGGAAACTATCACCATGATCATTCATGTAAGTGACCATCACCCCTGCAAGCTTGCCCTCTGTTCCCCATCTCTTGGAAACCACATAGAGCAGTGGTGCTCAACCTTCCTAAAGCTGCAACTGTTTAGTATAGTTCCTCATGTTATGATGACCCCCCCCAACCATAAGACTATTTTGTTGCTATTTCATAACTGAAATTTTGCTACTGTTATGAATCATAATGTAAATATATGATGTGTGACCCCATAGGGTATGATAGTGTTCCCACTGGCCTGGTTGCAGATATTTGAAGTGACTATTCTCAGATTTGTAGAAAAAATATTTTGCTTATAGAATGATCAGCCAAGCACAAAGTATGAGGGTAGTTATTAAATACTTGCTTCTGTGAAATACCAAGTAATTTTATGTATAGAACTGTTAGGGGGAGGCTTGATCTCACTTTTTACATGTAACTGTTACATGTCTTGCTGTGTGGTGAGATACCTACGTACCATTCTTAGACCCTCTGATAAATTCTTCAGCTTCTTGGTAGTGACCATTGACAAGAAACTGTAAAAGTAGCTCCTGAGACAAAGCAGAATTATTTTAAATACCATTCAAAACTGAAAATCTTTCTGCCAATTCAGTGCAGTGTTGTTATTTGTTGAGTGTGGTGACACAGATGAATCTCAAATTTGCTTGGATCTTAAATATCAAATCTTTCAAGTGATGAGGATCAAGTTCACTATCATCCCTCAGCAAACACAGTGCCATAGGGGAGACTGGGAGCATCTGATGGAACTGTACTTGTCAGAGCTTCCATTTCTCAAACTGACCACTGCAGTGTACTCAAATTGTCTAGCTGCTGGAAAAGCTGTGTCCATGATGGCTCACTTAGCAGCCAGTGGCTCGTGGACCTGCCTAGGAGGTGGCACACTTGACTTTAGGCAACAGCAAGGACCCAATGCTCCTCGTACTGTTACCCTTGAGGACCAAGTGGTGAACATCAACCCCCAGCTTGAGACCTTGACAGCTGCAGGTGAAGAGGTCTTGCTGCTTACCCAGCTTTTTGGCCACCTGGAAGCTGAGGACTTCAAAGAGGTCTTGACATACTTGTGGCCTATCGTATGAGTGTGTGTGTGTGTGTGTGTGTGTGTGTGTGTGTGTGTGTGTGTGCCCTCTCACTAGTGCACCTGGAAAATGGTCCAGTCTGTATTTTGCAGGTAAGTTGGGGGCTTGAGAAATGGCTTGGCAAGTAAGAGTGCAGACTGCTTTTGCAGAAGACCTGAGTATGGTTCTATTCAGCTGGAATCTCCAGCTCGGCCCCATTCCTCCCTCTCCAAACCCTGCCCTCTCAGAAAGACCACCAAAAGTCCAGTTCCTAATTACTGGTGGTCATGGTAATGACCCTGAGACTGCCAGCCCCTCAAGTCCTCTCCCAAAGCCTTATAAATGGGCACAAACCTAGCTTGTGGAGGACACGTCATCAGCCCAGGCTTACAGGGTATATAAGCACCCTCCTTTGGATGGGCCATGTGATATTTTTCTCCTGCCCCTTCTGCCTTGATCTTTTGGTGCTGGATGGTCACTAGGAGTGCTTCCCTAAATAAACCTGGTCTTTTATCTTTTAATTTGGCTTGATCTGGCTTATTGCATCATGGAGAAACCTACTATCGGGATACAGAAACCTATCATTCTCCTTTTGTATTTTAGAATAACTTGAGTAGTGTTGTAGTTATTCCCCCTCTGAAGGTGTGGTATAATTCTGTGCTGAATCCATATAGCCCTGGGTACTATTTTAGTTAGGACATTTTTAGTTTGCTTCTATCACATTTGTTTAAATTATTTAATTCTTACCTGTTTAACTTTGTTAGGTCATATGCATATAAAAGTTCTATTTTCTACCATAGTAGAACATAATTTTTTAAGGTTCTATTTGTATTTATGTGTATAAGTGTTCTGCCTGGATATATGTACATATACTGCATGCGTGTCTGGTACCTAAAGAAGCCATTAGGATGTACTGGATCCCCTGGAACTGAAGTTACAGATTATTGTAAACCATCATATGGATGCTGGGACCCAAATCTCAGGCCCTTGTAAGAAAACCAAGTGCTCTTAACTGCTGAGTCCCTGGCGTGTACCATTTTAAATTATGTCCTTATGAGTCTAAATTTCCTCATTGCCTATTGCAATGTTTCTCTTTTTATATCTAATTGTATTAATTTGTATTTTCTCTCTTTTAGTTGATTTGACTAAAGGTTTGTCAATCTTTAATCTTTTCTATGAGTGAATTATTCATCTCATTGTTTCTTTGTATTTTTTTTCATTTCCATTTAGTTATTTTCAGCTCTATGTTTGATGATCTCTTCTCAGCTATTGTATCAAGATAATGTTTGTTATTGTTGACCAAGGCTGTCCAGTGCCTCATTACATTATTAATTGGAGATACCTCAGTTATTTTGACATATTCACACATCATCATAAACTTTTAGAGTTGCATTCTGTATATATTATGTTTACATTTTCATTCAAGTCTAGGAAGTTTTAAATTTCCTCCTTGATTACCTTCTTAATCGAATTACCATTCAGTAGTATGTTGTTTGGTTTCCATGAGTTTGTGTGCTATTGGTTGTTTTTACTGGTATTAACATCTAACTTTGTTCCCTTGGTCAGATAGAATGCAGAGTATTCTAGTCACCTAGTATCACTGTGTTGGAATTAATCTCTAGTTTTAGATTTAATATATTGTTTATAAAGTTGATTGCATCTGCGTTTGATGCATATATGTTTAGAAGTGTAAAGAATCTTTTTCAATAAAAGGAAAAAATTTAAAAAGAAATGTAATATCCTCTTGGTGG